ATCCTTACAGCCTACAGCCTTTGCCATCTTTTACAAAGGAATAGCAAAAAATTGAATATTGTTGCTGTACAGCGCACATTCAATACACAGGTTTTTGCTGTGGATCAACTAATCATGTAAAGTACTCTTTGCTCTTTTGATGACCTAATGTTACGCACAAAAAAAAACTGAATGGACCTCAACTAAGCACAAACCGATGCCTACAAAGATTGATTATGGAAATGTTTTCAAGCAAAATTTCTTGTATTAGTGTGTTCTTTCAAATATGCAGGATGTTAGACACAGAATAAAATTGTCTGAAGGTGAATAAACCAGAATTCCGGGGTGGATCAATAGGGGCAATAGTATCATCGCCTTGCTCACACAGTAGGAAGATTCAGCTTTCATTATGCATGAATACTATTTTTTTTTCTCGTGTTAGACACTGTGTTAGGAAGAACTATTACACTGAGTGTCCAAGGTTACAGCCAATACTTTATTTGAAGCTTTGTTTGTTGCGAGCGATTTGGCTTTTTAGGCCTTACTAACGCCGAAACCTTTTAGCAACATTTCCAACCGCCAGCGCCGCACTTACGAAGCACGTGAACAAATTTGACAACTAATTATCCACATATATTAAGCGATTTTATATATTTTTTTTCCCGACCAAAACTTTGCTCGTTACGGCTGAAAAATATAGCAGAGCCGGCTCGACTAAGAAACCCGAAGAAACAACTCATGTTTGGTCGTTTCGAACATTCGGCAGCTGATTGTTATGGAATACACAAGGAACGATTGTTGGCATATCCACCTTGACGGGGCGATATTCAAGCGCTTATTGCATTGCCACTCGGAAATTGCCATTGCTAACAACAACGTGAGCGCAAATTCAGAGAGTCCGTATCATATATGCAGATATCCAGCAATCCTCTGTATCAGTCCGAATGTCCAGCTTGGAATGTTACGGCAAATTCTCAGCAAAACGCATTTTGCTCATTCCCATACTTCAAAAATTTTTCTAGGCATTCACACGCTCGTATATTCTTCGGATACGCTGAAGAAATTTCAGCAGCGCGGACAGTAGTGCTTAATTCATGCCACAACTGTAGCCAGCCTGGGAGTTTCACATTTGCAGCACGAAGGCCTCTTATAGTGATCTTTTCCTTTTCAGGTGCGCTACGTCTTGGAATATCTTCTCTTTACGTTTTCATCCTCGCCCAAGCACAACACGCCGGCAGTCGGTGAGCGCAGTGACTCAGAGGCCGAAGTATCATGCTGCCGCCGGAGCTGCACTGCTAATATAACTGAGGAATATCAGGCGGGGCGCTAGTTGACTTGCACCAGACACACCCTCTAGCTTATAGCAGTCCCAGAGAAGAGTCCGCCGCTGTTGGAAGGCACTGTAATTTCCCTCTTTTAGTAGACGTAAGGATTGTATTTTTGCTGGAAGAGCGACCCTAAACTAAGAAGAAAAAGGGGCTCGACAAGGATTTAGGCAATCGAGCTAGTTTGCTACTCCTGCTTGGTCTTGGCTACGTGGGTCGTGCTTTTATTGACTTGCACTCATTCCGTACAACTAAGTGCCTGTAGGACATCCCGGTGGGGAATATCATCAGGTGTCTTCACCAAAGTCCTTCACACGTCCGGCTTTCACGCAGTCTTGTAACAACCGCTTTCAGGTGTCTCCATGGGCAGTGGACTAATACGGTACGCCTCCTGCCTTCCGCTCCACACTGTACAACGGAAAATCAAGCCGACTTCGGGTGCCCATCGACCGCCTGGCGGCTGCGCAATTAACCAATGCGGCAAACTCGGTGCCGCGTAGTGTCAGTGCACCAGCACTCTGGCGCGCTAGTAGGGCAGCACTGACAGCAGACCCATCCGCCCCATTAGGACACTGCGGAGAATATCGGCCATGGGATCACGGCATGAGGCTGACGCTCCCGGAGTGTCCTCCCCGAGGCAATGCAGAACCTTCGCCCAGAAGGGTCAACTTATGAGCCGCAATGTTACTTTGCTGGTGGGAGGCACTGACTCCCAGGGGGTTGCCAGCGTCCACTGTGGGTGTTGGCGAGCATTGAAAAAGCATTTGCACAGTCGCTCACACATATTCCCCGTAATATTCCCACATTTCCCACAGATTTAATTCATAACATCCCGTCTACAGTATCAACTCATCACCGGCAGCTGGATCAGGCCAGGCGGTTGTTGTCCATGGCTCGCTCTCTCTTCACCCTTAATGGGCGCTCAGTTTTCCTGTAAGTCGGCGCTTCGCTCTTCATCTCGGCAACAAGCTGCCGGCAATAAACAGGCCATCATTGGAAGCCATTGTCCTCATACTGGGCGACCTGCACGACTAAACGAGCATCGAAATGGCTCTGCAACGAGAGCACAAGCACTCGAAACCGTCACCTGCCAAAGATGCTTACAGATTTACGGGATCCAAGGCCTCCGCTCTTGTGCGTACTAGGTTTCCATAATTTCTTCTAAACCGCTGTTGATATGCCGAAATTGCAACAATGCTTCTGTTGCTGGCATGCAGCACGTAACCCGCGCTGGCGCACACTGATAATGAAACAAGTGCCAACTCCAGTAATAATTTTGGAGTGGAAAGGCGATTCTAGTTTTCATGAATGTGGCACCCCAGGGATACACAGAACTTTGGACGCATGCCTTGCGGACTCACCGTATTAATAGAGTAAACAGCCGATGGCAAGCGCACATTCGCTGTAAGGAAGTAACAAATCACCAAGATGAGGCACCACGATCAAAAGGCTATGTGCAACTGTGTTTCACGAGCTGCCTATGCGGTGCTCAAAAATTTCACAGTAAAACCTTCGGACACCAGCATCAGGGTACAGGCTTCATCCCTTGCTGTTTTTCCTGGATAGCATCAGTGTCGCCTCATGAGGTTCCTGGATCAGCTGCAGTCGGCTTCACTTTAGATACCGTTGTATCTTCCCTCCATCTGCATTCCCCTGTCAGCATATGGCCAACGACACTGCGCCTGGCTGCCTTTGATAACTAGGACATCGGTGTGCATGATCACCTGATATTTGGCAACAAAGCCACCAACATAGTCTCCCCTTCGTCTTTCAACTATAGGAGGAGACGCTAGCCCGAGCACGCTACATAACAGTGCAGTTGAAGTTTACCCTGAATGGGAATGATTGCATGCTATAGTTCCATAACCTTTATGCCTCCGCCTTTACTCTGCCATTAGTATGCCTCCCGAGAAAACAGCGTACTTGCTGAGCTGTATTCGAGTAAATCTATTACGCCGAAGAAACAATAGAAAATTCAGGCGGGGTTTCAAATTATTGTTAATTCTGCAGGGCGACGCTTTGTTATCTTGCTTCTGACCTATGTAGTCGATTTCTTTCGACACGGGGTGCGGCAGCGAAGTCAGTTAGTTTTCTATTTGCGCTAGCAGTTATTCGAGGTAAGGGAGTGTTGCTCTCAGATCCTGTTTAAAGTGACCTGTGATATCCAAGATAGTCAAGCGAATTGAGAATCTATTTGCACAATATGGAGTGTGAGTATGCTCAACCAGGCGTTTGCGCTAGCGGAAACATGCAGTGCTTTGCCGTAGCCGCCTACAGAATTCGCTAGTGAATCAGTAGGTCAGCCCCACCGTTGCCTTATTAAACGGGACGAAAGGTGTTAAACTACCCTCCGGAGGGAAACCACCAGAAAAACCAGTCTACAGAACAGGATTCCGATTGGAGTCCCCCAGTTGTACCAATCTGCTTGAGGGATTGGCCTCCCCTACAAAGTTGACAGCCCGAAACCCCACTATGGGCCAACCAGCGATTGTATCAGCGGGACTGAGCATTCTTACTTTAAATGCAGTAAAACAAGATTGTTTGTGTCCAGCTAGCTGTCTTCTTGATGTTCGACGGATGGACGCTTTTAGTGTGAGTTTTTCGCTCTGCGTACGACGCCAACCTTGCTAAAGCGGACAACGAAAACATAGAAACCCAGCAAATCTTGGACGTTCTGCTTTCCATGAGCACGTACGTAAACCTTGTGGTATAGCACCTGGTCTTTTTTGGTTGTTTTGCACCTCTGATTTAGGCATCCGGAGCAATGCTGCGAATACCCATATCACGGCTTGCTGGTAACATAAGGAAGCCCTGCATCCTCGCGAGCAAAACTTTCCCACAGGCGTGCAAAGCTCTTCAAACAGCTTTAAAAGCCGATCGGGGGTGAGTGTCGTGCTCTCCTTATATTATCCAGCTGCGAAATTAACCTCCTGCTGCAGCCTGCTACGAGCAGCCTGCTACCAGAAAACGTGCTCGATGAGCGGAAATGGCTACAATCGTAGAATGCACAGTACAGTGCCAGAAAATTCCGTCTGTCTCCATCCACATTGACACACTATCCTCAAGGGATTGCAGTTCAGGGAAAATAGTGCCTAGAAGACGGACGCCTCTCCGACTTCTGGAAAACATCAGAAAACATGCGAGTGCTTCGTCTTTTTAGGCTTCCTAGTTTAGACCCTAAAAGTTTTCTGGCCTTGATACCCCATTACTGCGTAAAACTTGAGCTCCTGCACGGCTCCTTTAGCATTAGAACGGTACGAGCGCACAAGCTCTGTAGGGATAGTTTCTATTGCATTAGCCATTGCTCGTCAGGCACGGAGGTAGAATGAGTGGAATCGCCGGCAGATCCTGCTGCTGCTCTGATCTTAAATGAAAATAGGGTGTCTTGGCTTTTGCATCGAACAACCGGAAGCTTGTCGCTGTGTACAGCTTCAGGCACTGCGCTCTCCTTATGGACCGGCTTTTTTGGCTAGGTTGAGGGATTCACGGCGCAGTACATGTAAAAGAGTCTGCGACGATTCGATAATCTGTACGCAATGCACTAGCCACAAAACTATGCAGAGATAACGGGACGTACTGATGGAATATTCATGCGTCACAAACAAATATTGCGTCGCCAGAATGCCATTTCAAATGGCATACTTCTGATGCCCTGTGTCGAAGCACTTGTGACTGAAGAACGTTTCCCTAGTCACTTTAGCAGCCACTGCTGACCTTAATATATGCCGCCTCTGTTTCCTGTATTGTCTTTTCGTACTCATCGCGAGCCTGCATATTTCGTTCCTGATTCACTGCGAGCAATAGTAAAGACCAGTTGAAACTGCACGTTGGGTACACATTGCCTTTTTTGAGACAGATTTGCTGACTAAACACAATTCTCGGAACACGCCATCAACTGCATTGAAGTGTCTTACTGCCGAACCTGTAATCTTCTGAAGCTTTTCAGTCAACGTAGCAATCCCTCGCTGAATTTTTTCCTTTTCTTCAGCTTCCTGCAGACATGGCATCCATGCGAGCATTAAGTATACGAAGAGATCAACAACATATTTCCATGCCGTAAATATGATGCTATAGCACGGTCCTGCAGTGCTTCACAGTATTAAGCAAACATCAGACATTATGACGCTGTAAAGTTTTGCAGACCGCCTGAATATTTCTTGCAAGATCGTCGCGCTTCTTTTTCAATTCCTCAATGCACCTGAGCAGCTCGCTGCCACAGGCCGAGAGGTTCGCGTTTTGTGGTTGGCCGGACATTTCTCATATCCCGTGGACGACTTGGCCAACAGCCAACTTTGTGAGGGACAATAACGCCACTGGACTTGTTTGCGCACTGAGCTCAGAGTGCTAGAGACTGCGCTGCAGTTTGCAGCACCGGTGATTTCGCCCATGCGGCAGATCCCTCAACCAACCTAATATTGTCCGTCAGTATATTTATGAAGTTATCCATTCCTAGGCAGGACAACCTGCAATCGTTCATCTGTATTGAGTTGTTCCAAGGGGTTCTGCTGCTTTTCCTTGTATGCAGAGTGACCCTTGAGTGGACTGCACGATGAGCAACGGCTGCAACCCCTGTGCGAGGATGTGGAACGTCGGCTATATTTTATTAAGGGAAAAAGACAAACCGAGAGTCAAAGCCTGCATACTAAACTTTGCTCCAATTCATGTGGGGGTAAATTGAAGTATGTTGTCATGTCGATGCCCAAAGATGCACTCCAGATGCATGCACAAATCTGTGGGGCTTTAAAATGCGGACAGAAAATTGCGCATAAGGAAAATTAAAGGTTTAATAGCACACGTTATCTTCTATTGTCCAGATAGCTGCTAAGCAGAAAACAAATTGACAGTGCTGGTTTTTTCTCGAACTGTTATAATGCTCTGGTTCAGGAAAGCAGAAGGGTGAGTGTGGCAGGGCGAATCAATCCTGCATCTTACCGGTAGCCGTGGATTTCATTGTAGCAGGAAAGAATTAATAAAACAGGTGTCGGAGTCATGTTGCAAAATTCTTTCCTGCTGAGATACCTGTTTTATTAAAGCATTGGAATGCACTATAACTCCTACAGCGCACTTGAGGCACCGCCACACAGCGCTTATGCTGACACTATGGTGGGGGTGAAGCTGCGATTCCAGTGTATTATTGTGGTTCAGAGGTGACTCACTTCAGGTTTGCTGCATCTAAGGATGACATGCTGCTATGCAATTAAATACAAGTGCCGGGCACCAGGGTCTAGAATGCCTCTGAAGTGTCCGAACAGCACGGAGAGAGCATGATCCGCGCTACTGCATGCACTTGCCCACTGGTTGACGTGGAATGCCCTCCTGCTATAGGTGAAGGCACTTGCCCTGACTTCCTGATTTCGTTTGCAAAAAAGTGCAACTCCACTGCAGTAATACTGCGGAAGAAGACAGCAGTCATGCGTGGTTACACGCGATACTTCGTTACAACACTGACTCGCCTCCACTGCTGTTGAATGCAATTAATCGCTCTTCGGTAGCGGTTCGTTGTTTGCAAATATCTTTTTCCTGGCTATTGGGCTTAAGAGTTAGCATCGGTGAACCATGGTACAAGAACAACGCCTTCGAACATATTGCAGTGTGTGTCAAGCAGGAATTGCGTCTGCGATGTTAGCCAGTCACGCTTTATGATGTCCACAAACCTTCAACGTGCAAACGCTGTATCTCATCTTTGGACGGGATACACCGCTAGTACGACAAAACTGTATACGCATTATGCAGTGAGTACGTATCTTTGAAGGCGACAACAAAGTTTTAATACGGCACCGTCTGAGACCTGCGACACGGGGTGTTGCGAGATGTTTGGCTTCTAGGCAAACAGTCTAGTTATTGGAATGGTGCCAATTACGCTGGTGCAGTCGGTGTAAACTGACGAAGGTTGAGGGTATATTGCACAAAAAGTGAAACGGCTGCTCCATGGCGAAGCTAGGATCTAAATGTTGGTACATGTGTCTCTGCAAAATAAAGGCAGGGCGATAGTGGCTTCTCATGGATTGAGCTGCACTAGGCTTGGAGACAGAATATTCTCCACTGGGGTTTTGGATTGATTTGCCTAACAGGTTGAATCTAGATCTCTACGGCCAGTAGATACTTATCAACAGGGACACAGCAGAGAAGGCTCACATTACCACAGCAGCTGCTGCAGTTTCCTGCTTCGCCTTACCATCTTTTTAGCTCAATTTCCATAGCCGACCAATCTGATTTTACTTCCCACCGAGCAGTGCGACGCGAGTCATTCCTAGCACTCGCAGTTCACCATACGCGCCCATCCAACAATTTAGGCGTCCAAGTTAACATTGACCGATGGAATGAGCAAAGCAGTATGCGTTTTATGCATATGTTTCCCGAGAGTAACAGCACACCGTCCGCAACAACACGGATGGCAGGTCCCTGATCTCTGGAATAAGCTTTGTGCTAGACTATGCTGGTTTTAAGTGCAGGCGTATCCGAACAACTAGCTTATAATGTACTTTTATTCGTAACTGGTGAAAGGAAGAAATAGTAGGTGGTTGCCAATATCTGAAGAAATAATACTTCGAGATGCAAGATGTAACTGGAGCGTATGCAACCTTCTTATTGAGTTTTAGAACACTACCTCTTGGGTGGTTTTGCATAAGGGCCACCTGAGACAGATATGCGTCTTCTAGTGCTGCATACCCTGACGTTTGGCTTCACCAGCACATATTCAATTAGCCGTAGCATCTGCAGAGTACTGCAATGTATTTTAACCCAGCACCTCCATCTGTTCCGCGAAGTCGTTGTTGATAACATAAACTGTTCCTTGGAGAATGCGAAAGCTGTTCCAGCTGGGCTGTTAACTCACGGACTAAGAGATACTGCAGCCACCTCTAGTCAACCTGCTATCAAACAAATGAGCAACCGTCATCGTCAGTTAGGATTGTTTGTCAGTAAGATAAACAAGGCATAATTACTGGTGAACTTATCTTCTTTCCGTTGGCACTAGCGTACATTATAGCAGCGAAGAAACAGCTTGCTTGCTTGGAACACACTGCGATGTCATGCTACAAAACCTAAGAACAAGTTCGCAGGCAATCAGGCTTAATACCTTAGGCAGAAAGCCTGCTGTTTCTTAGGCAGCAGTTTTTGCCACTAGCGAAGGCAATAGTTACCTAACTATAGCCTTCCCTAGTGGCAAAACCTTGGCTGCCACATGCATCGACACGCCAGTCAGGGGAAGCCCTGAAACGCTTCTCACTGTCTACGAGCACATTACATGCTATAATGTAAAAGGTTGTGGACTTCAACCGCCAAATTACCACAGGGAGTAGGCAAATGGTCGATCTGCGCTGACTGGTGGGGTGGGCGGAAGTGTATGTTCAGATTTGCTACGTAAAGCACGCGAGTAGGGCGAGTACACAGGCATTACGGCTGCAAGTGCTATAGCAATTCCTTGCAATCTTGCGCCTTTCGGTTTTGTGCTTCCATCAAACCGAGAGCACTAACTAATGCCTCAACTTCAGGTGACCCGATGGGGAGACTGCTATTGGTGTGCACAACTCCACCTCTGAAGTACCAACACTTCTGCATTAATCAGTGCAGATTCCACCCGGAGTAGAGCGTCGTTGGGGATATCACCCGTCTGCCAAGAAGCTCGTGGCATGGATAATGGCATGGCAGTGCACACTGCTGGACGATTCATTCGCACTGCATGGCCATGCACACTTTGTTGAACATCTCCTGCAGTAAGCATTGGCCATTTAAGTAAAAGGTAGTATGACCGCTCCCCCGCATACAGAACATGATAAAATCGAATTCCCTCTCGGACTTCGTATATATCAAGGTTCTGTCGACGGAATACCTGAGGTCATTCGCGACTAGGCATCGAGCGCAGTCAAGCATCGGTCCTTGGAGGCACCTGCCGAGTCTCCATGCTCCTCCCAGGAACTAGTACACTACAATAAATGCAGTCGTGAGACGATTAAGAATGACTGCATTATACACTGCAGGAAATGTGGTTGATCTACATGAGAACGAACTTCTTCCACGTAGTGCCTAATTTAAGGCTAATCGGCAACAAACTGACTCTCGCACAAACTAAAATTTACATCTTATTCACAGTGTACAACAAAGCATTACTTTAACCGAACAGGAGCCCCCGCAGTTGTTGGCATCTGGATCGCAGCCCCAGGGTCACTGCATGCGTTCATCGACCAGGCGCCGGAAATTTGCTGTAAACGACTTGGCAGAAGCATCTGAGGCCCTGCATCGAACATCGGGCACTACAACAGGTAGTCGTTTTGCTGCATTGGCAAATGTATTTACACTTTTTCTTATGGAACGCTTCATCTGCGCCCCCTGCCTGAACAAATGCTCAGGTTGGCACCGTAGTATGAGGGTGAAGCCGTATTGCTTTGTGCGTTTCGGTAACTCGGCATGCTCGTCCGTAGGGGTGTCATTCCATACTACTGGGATCTCAAACTAAACCTTAATTCGGAGAACTATAACTCCCCCGAATTTCGAGCGCCCAGACGTACTGAAGTTCACCTTGTTTCGGCCACAGTTATTAGTGCACACATCTTCTCGTTCTGTTGCATAAGTTTGGATGGACTGTAATTACGCCTGTCTCCACTGCATGATAACTTAGGGATACAAAGAGCCCTACTGCATCCCCACAGCACAGACAGGAGCGTGCCGTCTAGCCCCGTAAGGAAGCCGTGACACACCGTTGTTCAAGCTTCAGTGTTGCTCCGTAGATTCACATGACAGCACACAAATGTCCTTCAGGATCTCAGGAGGACGACTGTTGCCCAAAACCTGGAGGGGGTAGTGCCGAAAACGGAAAGCACCTGCCGCCTGTAGAAGATGCAAAGACACCTGAACTCACAGAAAGAGACGACTGGTTTCCTCTTTCCGAGTGGCCTAGTAGTGGGAGCAACAGTGGCAGTAGTACAGGTGGACAGCGTACTCAGAGATGCCCCGGAACACATGAGACGCCAGTTCATTTGGAACAACCTGTAGTAGAGCACACCGTGGCATTCTCCACAAAATCCAGGGCATTACTTCGAAAATCTTCAACAGAAGGGAATTGTTTCAGCACACAGGAGAACGTGCTGCCTCAAAACACCGTAGATTCGGCCCAGGAAATACTCCAAAATGCTGGCGCAGTTTCCGCATCTCTTTCCTTCGAGGGGTCCGGCTCCCCGAGGGCTTCAACCATTGCATCCGCCCTGAAATCTGAGTGTGCTCCAGTTCGGGGTTGCCACTTACCACAATGTACCAGTTCTCCAATATCTCGAATCGGCGCCAAAAGGTCTCTGGTTTGTGGACCGGTTTCTGTACAACAGACCCTTACAGAGCGTCAGTTGGACATCGAGAAGAGGATGCTAGAAGTTAGACAGCAAAACAGGCGTCGTTTGCTTCGAAGGCAGCAGGAAGCTAAGGAACAACAAATGCAGCGCATGAAAGAACACCGTGCAGCTCTGTTGGCTAGGAAGGAAAGAATAAAGCTAGCATCGTTGTGGAAGGAAAGAGGAATGGCTGCAGCTGCTAGGCCTTCAACAACTTTAAAAGCGAGGAGAACGACAGAGGAGCTTCCTTCAGACAATTCCCAGCTGACAGAGAATCCTAGTCGAGGAGCAGATGAGCTGCTTGCAGCACTGGTGATGTCAGAATCGATATCCCTCCAGACAGACCTCGGAAGCGCTGGGGATGATGCCAGTGTAGGTAAGTATATCCTGACTCGGTGCAAAGTGGAGCCCGGTTTCGCTTGGAAACGTGTATGAGCATAACTCCCACTGCTTAGCTTCCAGAGTAACTCCTCTTTTCCACTAGCGCAATTTCCGCACTGCCAGTCGATCGCTTGTTGTTGCAGATTTAGCACGCAAGGAAACCTGCCCGCCGTTCAGCTTTCGTTGTCCTGGTGATTTACCAGATGAAAGGACCGGCTCAACATACGTTGCTACAGCACAGCCTGTGGTCAGTCACTGGGAGAGCTCCACCAGAGAACACTGACAGACTTCACATATATCCCTATGTAAACGCTTTACAACAGCGTTGAACGTGCCTCACTAGCAGTATATTTCAGTGCGGAGGAGGCCGCTATGTAATGCGACTGCCTTGGGGTGTTTTCGGAGCTTTCATATGTTGTTTGCATTCGCCCTTAATTTGTTCACACGCCCATGCCAATTGTGGGTTGCACAGGTGTCCGTTCCTTCAATTTGTCACCAGCATAAATCAATTCCGTACAGACGAAGCCCAAAAGCCATGCTGCAGCCCACAAAAGAGCCTGGAACAGTAAACGCAGGCGCCTCCGTTATGGAGGTCTCCCAGAAATCTACACAACAGAGCAGATGCACCCTTTCCGGATCGTTACTGAGCTCTCAGCTACGGAATAAGGTGGCATCGTCACAGAGGGTGATGTCTTTACGCCAGCAGTTCCAAGACACCCCAGCTGGGCCTCGGAGCTCCAGTGAAGCACCGTATCCATGCGGGAGACCAGTGGCATTAACGCGGAACCGCCGGCTGAAGCCCGGGATGAAGCCGGTTAGTGTGGATAAGTCATATACTTACGATATGCAACAAGGGGAGGACAGAGACTCTTCTTTATTGAGAGAACGAGAATGCGAGCATAAAAGCCAAACGTACCGAAAAATCAGGCCGGTGATTGTGGTGGCTGATCAACATCTTAAGAACGAACTGGACATTCACTTGCAGCATCACCAGCAGGTTGCGCTTTCCAGAAATAAAGATAAACTACGTGTAACTGATGGATCAGGTTCCCTTCCATTTCCGCCTCTACGAAACAGCTCAAGCACATGGAGGCCCCCCGCAACAAACTCGAAGTTAGCGGAGGAAGATGGAGCTCTAGGGATGCCGAATCTCGCTAACCTATCGGTGCACAAGACTGCCGGTGCTGCGAGTATTTGTCAGGCAACACAATGCGCAAACCCTTCCATCGTTTCCGGAGAAAGTGCTCACATTCAATTGAGATTTCCAAATCGATCTAAACAGGGACAAATCAAGACTAGGGCTCCATCGTTTACCTTGAAGGAACGGTTGATATCATGTAGGCTAGCCAACTTCGGAGTTCCTGAAATGCAAGCTTTAAGCTCCCCAATTTCCAGTGGGATGGAAGTGCCTGGAAAGGAACAGGCTGAAGGGCTACAGGTGGTGCGTATACGCCGCGATATATGGTGTGAAAAGGGACTATCCAATCATGAGCTGGAGAACGTTGGGTCCTCAGATTCTCATACAGGTCCCTGCAAAACTTTCCAGTTGCATGAGAACGGCCTGCTGGGTACGAAAGATCGGTATATTATGCATTTCCCATCATCGCATGGCGATTCCGACGGCAGCAGTGCTGCAACCAAGCCGCAAGAAGACGACGTCAATACGAGGGGAGGGCACACAAAGAGCAATGGCTTAGAGGATAGAATAGATATGTGTCAAACGGCTCTAAGCGGACACTATGAATTGATTGGAGATGAAAAAGGAACAGTTTCGGCAGTTTGGGCCCTTCAAAAAGCAGAAGTAGAGGAGGAGAAGCGACTGTTGCTGCTTGAAATGTCGCATCATGCCATCGAGAAACAGGCAGAAGCAAGAAGAAGAGGGAAGAAAGGGCAGCCTCCTTTACTGGCACAACACTTGCGAACGAGACACTGTATCCGCCCTGAAACTGATACTGGATGCTCTCAGCTAGTTCAAAAAACCCAACCCTGTGCTGAAGCCAGCTCTCTTGTGGTGCATCCAGTAGACGAGTCGTTAATGTCAAAAGCTGAATTTCACATTCCCCAAAATTTCGGTGATACCGAAGTCTGCAAGAATCTTCCTGACGGCAGCCATGCGCCTCTTCCGGTTCCCAAAGAAGGAAATATGCAGGCCAGTAGGGCTGTGCCATATATTCACAGCACCAAAAATTATCGTGGAAGTCCTGCCTCCCGTCCCTTCAACGTCTCCTCAGGAATGACTCGTAAGCCAAAGCTGCGCACCTTTGCACCTTCAAAAAATTTGGCAGAAATATCCAGACAAGCTGAAACAACTGTGGAGGGAGACGAAAAGGTCCACCATAATGGACAGCCGCAGGAACTCCAGAGCGATTTTCCGTTAATGCAGCAGCAAGCCCTCATTGCTCAGCTTCTGGGGCACGGAGTTTTGGCAGGTCTGAACGGAGGCAGTTCTGCTACCACGAAGGCGGCTGAATTCCAGTCAGATTCATGCTTGCCTTCTTGCGGGTTTCATGACAAATATGACACTAGCCCTCGTATTCGAACCATCAAGCGACGCACGATGTTGCAGGCTCTACAGCACCTGTTACTTTTCCCCTCTAAGTCTTCACACCGCATCACATTGAAAAAGGCCAATCACCTTGGGAAGGAAGGGAACACTTCTCAGAAAGAGACCCAGAAACAAGGGTCCAAACTGCATCGTCAACGGCGGCTCCCCACAGAACAGCCATGGCATTCAGCTTACTGTCCTATCGAAAAGTCTATTCCGGAAGGGAGTAGTGCAAGCAGCCGGTTATTCTGTAGGTCGTCTTCCAGCTCCAGTGGCGCAGCGGGACAGACGTCTCTTCTTTCAACAGCAGGGAACGTAGAATAGCCCCATAGGACCAGGCTACCCTAGTGTCTAGCAAGCGTCAGCGATGTAGGAGCCTAAAAGACCGGAAGCTTTGGACGCTAATTTGCAGTAGAAATGTACAAATTGTCAAACACCCCCACAAAAAATAGTTCTTGATTGAAATCTAAGTTATGTATATTTATTGCATTGAATGGTTTATTCACTTTTGAAGTGACTAAGATGGCCCTTACAGAAACTGTCGTACTCCCCGTCCTTCTGGGAAGCACAGAATAATACTGAGTAGTTGTTTCGTTTTTGAGTACCTCTGTGGATGAGCATCCAGAGAGCCTGTCCGAGCGGCTGTTCGAAACAAACGTAGAGTCCATCAGATCACATTACAGTATCCCCCCAGAGCCCCGTTTCAGTGTGGGTGTCCAATTACTGGCTTTGGTGTCTCCTGCACCAGCCATACTGTAGCAAGTGGTGAAGTCATTAAGTTGTACATGCCGTGTTGGGGCTCCGACGTTTGCATGGTCGCTTTTTCATTTGCATGGTGACGCCTCTGGAAGTCCCGCTTTTCCAACAACCTCTTTTGCAACAACGTCACATACCTCGAGAATTCAGGAGTCAAAAGATTCGATAAGCAGCTGGACACTTTGACTCGTCTTTCCGAATACTGAGAACCCAAATCTGGCGGTTTCTTGTCTTCCGCCCTCTGTGGGTGCGACTGGCATTTCCCTTCCAAGTAACCGCGCGTTCGACATCCGGAGTGTTTCCAAATATACCCTTTGACCTCTCAGCTACAGTGGTATACGTGGTTCTTTGCTGAGTAAAATGTCCTTCATCTCTGCAAATGTATTGATTCCACGTCTCATTTATCTTTCCCCAGCGCAGTCAGTTACCGATTGAATTTATCCGAAGGGCAGCACCGCACTAATCAAGTGATACCGAAGCTCCCAGTGAACCCTCACACGCTTTTCGAGTTTACTCTGTGTCTATCGAAATCCCTACAGGATTTGCTAACTTTACTCGGCGCCGACTGATATCTGAAGCCGTGGGGAGCAGATACAAGCGTCCAGGTCATTATTTCGCGCTGTCTATGCGGAGTCTTGAGGTAGTAAGTACATTGGCAAAAGAATCGGCTTAAAGAGCGAGATTAATTCAAAAATGGGCCATTGGTGTGCCTACGTTTGTAATAACTCTAGTTACTCCGGTGCTGGGAACGAAAATACAACTCTCCCCAGGCAAGAAGCTGCTACGCTGCCTTCGCATCGCAGCGACGACCATACCTCCATAGCCGGCCAGTCTGCAGGGATTATTAACGAACTACGTTTTGGTGTAAGAAGCATTCTGCTGAATGGGATGCAGACATTCAGTTTGACTCAACCCTCCAGGGCTCCGGGAGGTTGGCCGCCCCGCGAATAGACGGCAGAGACGGATTGAAGGAAGTAAATAGCTGATATATGCGAACACCTTCAGTACTACTCGTTCCTATGCATCTGGGCGCCTTGCTGCGAAAGTGACGTTCTCTGTTCGCACGTGCACCCGGTGGCCACGGTGTGCTAAGTCCTGCGCTGGTTGGGCGCCTCATCCGATGGCTATTGTAGGCTGCAACGGAGCCAAAATACTTCTGATAGTTCGTTACATGAGACGTGCCTTGGTCTTCAGTTCCCAGTCATCCTAAGGTCACCAGCTCTATTGGCTGTAGCTGCGGGGGAGGCGGCAACCTGCCATGAGTTGCAATGCACTTCGTTGCAGCAACGTGTAACACGGCAGCACATATAAGCACAAACAGGGCTCCTCTGGCTTTATATACAAACACTGTAGACAACTGTTGAGACCTCCTGATTGTGTAACGCTTAGATAGTGTCCATGAGCCCACGTCTTTACATTGCGCAGAATCTGCCATATTGTGGGGCGCCGAGTCCAATGCTCTCTCTACTTCGTGCTGTACTCCGAATGTAAGAGAGAAGAAGACACCATATTGCTTTTAACTCGCTCAAATAGCAGGAAGACAGTTTATGGACCAGCACACTGACAGCGAGAACTTGCTACGCTGTACCATCATTCGAACGAATCACGAACCTGGTTAATGCAGCAGGGTACGTCCTCTACTTAATGTAACTTACTCACTTCATACGCATGGAAATAAATTATGTGGATGCTGCCACATACTGTCACATATAAGTAGGCACCAGCGCAGGTATTACCGGCCATAACCATACCTAGCAGTATTCGTATAGGTGCGTGGGGTCGGTTAATGGTGCAAAATGAAATGTGATAGATCCGCAATCAATATTCATGAGAAGCAAAAACAAAAATGTACGTATTGAAAATGATAAAGCTAGAGTATGCTGCAGCGGAAGCAGGTACAGCACATTCAGCGGCAACCGCGGCTGCAGCGCCGCCGGTGGACCAGCCGCCAGGAATGGAGGTAGGAAGTATTTCTCAAGATTTATCTCCTATATTGAAAACAAGCCAACTTCATATCATCTTCCTGTACAGTGGTTCAACTGTCAGTTGAAGGGAACTTCTGGAACCCGCAATGCCGTGTTCTCAGACGCGGTGGTTGCTCAGGCATCGCGTTATTAAGCTGAAGGACAACTAGGTCTCTCGCCTACTAAGATACTTCCATAATAAGGCGTACATGATAAGCCTAACATGTTTACGAGAAGCCTCTTGTTTTGCATACGGTTGCCCACCATTTATCATTTATAAGTCTGAGGGCATCCCATTTCAAGATTGCATCCAGTGGCCCTGTAGATTTTCCCCATTTTAGCTTCTAAAGTAGGCATAACGTCGCTGAGAAGTCAGCTACTTCTCATGTGTGTTACTCTGCGGAAAGGCATCCAAATAACTTCTGACGTTAGGGGGGCAAAATGAACGCCGTAGATAGGGCATGGGAAGAGCTCAAGCAGGCAAGTAGTGCCAGAGGTGACGCTGGCCCACTTCCTCTATCCAGCTTCCAGTTCCCCAAAAAGAAGCCCAAGTGCCCCATGCACGGTAAAGTCAGCAATGCCCACCAGTCTCTGGCTGCTCTGTCGTCGTCGAAGCATTCCAGCGCGCTTGATGCTCAAAAAGGCTGTACTGAGCAGGGTGGCGAAGCAGAATTCGCATCTCCAGCCGAAAAGGTTTACAGACTCGACTGCTGGCAGTTTGTAGCGTCTACCGTGCAACGGCAAGTCAATATCCTCAAAGAAGAGTGCAACGGTGCTAAGCGGTATGGTGCTCTGGCGATGCTGAAGCACCTCTTCCTAGAGGCATCCGTGCCGAATGTTTTCTACAACAGAGCATTCACTGTAGTACTTGATCCCCTCCTGCTATGCCTTTCGGAACCTTCTGAGACAGCCCGTCACATGGCTGCTTGCCTACTATTGAAGTTTCTAACCGAAGTGGCCGAGGTGGATGAGGCTCTTGGAGATGTGCTTCGCGGGTTAGTGCCGCGATTTGGCTCAAGAGACATCGAGGGAGTCGCACAACTCCCTCATATAATGAGACCAACGCCCGAATATAAGCCATTGCAATTGGTGCCTATAGAGAAAAGTGAGGAAGTCCGACAGACTTTGCTTCAAGTGCTCCAGACAGTGCTTAATAGGACATCAGACAAATATGTTTGGAACCACCTAGATTTGATTACAGGTCTCATCCGTGCGGCAACTATGGACATTTTCCATGATATCAAGTTCGTTGCTCTACAAACCGTGGTGGAGTTCTTCGATCGCCACCAAAACATGCTGCTTCACTTTACCGAACCAGTAGCAAGGTCCATTCTTTCATGCCTTGTGCATCAACATGCTAGGATCCGAATGGGCGCTCTTAGAGCGCTGACTCATGTGCTTGCCTCTGGACTGTATAAGTACAGCGGCGAAATAATTCAAATGCTCGCCGGTTGGCGTGACCCGAACATTGTCCCAATTAAAGCATTGTATGAAGTAACAACAGTCCGTAACTACTTCGCCGAGCTGTTGGCAGATCAGTCGCCTATGGTTAGAATGTTTTTTTTTGACACCCTTGCGCGGTGGCTATACGAGTTTAAAGATAAAGCAGACTACGAAACATGGCTGGTCCCCTACCTTCTGAGTGGACTGTTCGACCCATTCAGACCCATACAGCAGCTGGTATTTCGGCTTCTGGAGCTTCTTGGTAAGCAATACGAGGCTACGCATGAGAAGGACCTTCGCGATATCAAGCAACTTGGTACTCCTGAAGCCTGGAGCTACGGTGGAAAGTGCTGCCTTACGTTCCCTTTGGGAGGCTACTGGGATTTGCCTGAGGAAGGCAAAGTGCGTGAGGAGACGGACCAATTTTTCTCGTTTGTTAACACGTACACGAAAAGCTTGCAGTCTCTTGGGTTTGAAGGCTACTCTCTGTCCGCAAGCCAAGAAGAGAGGTACGCCGAGACAGGCGATGCACTCGTGGGCGATCCACCGAGGCCCTGCCTCGGAACGCGTATGATGGTTAGAACGTACTTTAGACGCTATGCTAACACACTTTTCCAACGTGTGGATGACTTTAAAGAAGTCACAATGGCTGCCTCCGCTCGCCTGATGGTGGTTTCGTTCGCCTTCATAGAGGAAGCATGTGTGGAATGGCTTGATAACACCCTGGCGATTTGCTGCCAAGTCCTGCCCGCATTGCATCACACATCCCCAGAGGCGATAGAGGCATATAAAGTTGCTGTACGCCTAGTAGGAGCTTTTGTGGACCCCGAGATATACTGGGAGTTTGTGAAAGACGCTCTGGAGGAATCCTCTCTAGAAGAAATTCATAAGAGAGTTGCGAAGATCGGCGTGCTGGCATTAATGCTAGAAGGCTCCTTCGCCGTCCTCCAGAAAACACCCGATTTAACCCTGGGTCTGGGTCGTCTTAAACCAGTGTTACCCAAGATAGCGGAAGCACTCTGTTACACTGAGCTGCTGCAGGACCTATACGTCGGCTTTGCTGCTGACAACGTAACCAAAGTCCTCAAAGTCCTAATTCCTGGGGTAGTTAGGCAGCAGGAAACTCTATCTTTGACGACATGGCACCATCTGTTAGGTGTCATTTGCTCTGTTGCATCTCCAGGGAGTATTCAATTAGAAGCCGACGACAGCAAATATCTGGCTCCAGATATTCAAGATCTACTTGACAGCTTGGTTAGGTGCAATGGTTTTGCCAACAGAAAATTGTCTGCCCCTAAAAGCGTGGGTTCACTGTGGCACTTTGCTAAACTTTCTTGCGGCTTCCCTCCAGCTAACTTGGCAGCGGTGAACGCATGCGTAAGGTATTTGCCATACGCACGCATACGCGAAGAGGGGACGTTTGATATAATTTATGCGAAGTTGCAAGAGCTTTCCGCAGCAACTCAAAAGGCTGCAACACGGAAGGGAATCCGGCGGACAGCTTTGAGGCTTATTAAACGACTGATATTGGAGGGCACATCGGCTGGTCAATCAAACGACAACAACGGCAATGATTCACCTACCCAGTTACACTCTGCATCGGTTCCTTCAAGTGCGTGCCTAAACTGTGACCAGGCGTACCTTCGGGGAGCAACAGAAGCATTTTCTGATGTCGACGATCCAGAACAAACCGTGGATACCCCAGAAAAAATCCAGAATAAACTTCTGAATTCCCCAGCACAGGCCGCGGCAAAGATACTGTCCAACATATTGCTTAATAAACTCAGGCAGATGGATGAAAGTTGTATTGACGATTTGATAGATACCCTCGTAGCCCTTTCAGAATTTCTTAGTCTTCCTCAACTATCAAGTAATGAGATTCACAATTCATTACAGGAAACATTCGAAACATCAAGATTTATTACAACTGTGGGTCAGGTCCTGCAAGACCCTTCTTTGCACAGACGACTGTTTTGCCTTGGTTGTAAAGAGTATGCCCACGAATGTGCTTCCAGATACCCAGACAAGCAGCCCGCGCTGGTCTTGGAGGACATGCCGTTGGGTAAACGCCGAGAGTTGAGGTTGTCTGCTATTAGGGCTGCTGCAGCTCTAAAGGAACACGCTGTGCTGTTGATGAGAGTCTCTTTACCAGTAGTGGCGAAAAGCTTTGAGAGCCTAAAATACCTAGTAAATGCATTGATTGGGTCACTCCATCCGGCCAGCAAGCTTCAGCAACTTCAGGAAATGCGCAGAAGGGGGAAATGCGATGCCTCCTGGAATCAGCTCTGCTCTTTTGAAGCTGAGATATGCCTCGATGGAGCCTCTGACCAATTAAGAAAAGATGAATTTGCCCCAGCTGAGGAAAAAACTGGAAAGGTAGACAGCGGTGGGCTGCACTGCGCTTCGTCTTTGCCTTGTCAGCCCCAAAGCCATTGGCGCCTCTTCCATACTGCTAGTTGTCTCTGGGATGCAATAAATACCGTGATAGCGTGCCATTCCAGCTTTACCGACAGGGAACCGAGCACTTGGGCAACCGGAAAGCTCCCCCCTTATTGCTATTCACAGTCCCTACTAATGCCCCGCGCCTGGCATTTGCCAGAGCACGGCCATCTTCAGCGTGAAAAAGCAGGTCGAATTCTGCTGGAGCTGTGTACGGAGTCTGCGCTAAGTGGGGCAATCGACAGCTGCGTTAGGCAAATTGTCGAGCTTCAGGAATCAATTTCAGCAGATCCTGTGTGGTGCACGGAAGACTTAGAAAACAACTCAAGGCGATGCCCAGAAGCGCGTTTAAATCTGGTTCAGGCACTTAATATTGCAAAAAACCAGATAAATACTGTAGCGCCTGACATCCAAAAAAAGCAGGCATTACTTGCGCTGATGCACGTTATACGGTTGCTTGGCAGCGTCAGCCCCAGCTCCATTCAGGAGTGCATACGGCAGTACGAATCAAGTGGACGTTTTAGCCGCCGTGCAGTTTTGATCCGGCTCTTTGAAGAGCCCGCCACGGCCTTAGCTGATTCCCTAAAATGAGCAATATTTACTAGTCCCCATATTTAGCTTGCACAGGAAAGTGCGCAACCTGAATGGGGGTCCTGCAGATTTTTACACGCTCACATAAAGACGCCTAAAAACCAGCTGCCATCCGTAAGGGGCACATGTAAATGGCAAAACAAGCCATTTCTAGTTTCCAGGGTCAGTATGTGTGGCGGATAACTACATGGGATTCTCATACCAAAACTGAATTGCTTGCGTAGGAAGCTGCAGGGGAACTGCGATATAAGTGCGTACAAGGTAGAAAGCAAACATGCATGCTGCCGAAGAATCATGGGTTCATGCAAAGATGATTTCGGTGCATGGCATGGATTTCAAGGCAAGTCTTGCTACAGCCAGTTTTAGTTGTGACAAAAGGCAACGGAGATTCAGGCTCAGGCTTTCCGTAGCACTCCCGTGTAGAAAGCTCACTTCCGGAAAGCAGTCCTAGCAACATGGCTTCCTTTGACGCATATAGCCCTGGAAGGCTTGCTGGGTCTGCACAGTGCGAAGGAGAAACCACCGGGATGTATTTCTGCTGAAATGTACCGAACGCCTTTCTCATTTTCATGAGTGATGAAATGATGGCTGAATTGGCCCCTCCCTGACCTTCGACAACCCTTGACCAGTCGTTGCATTTAGCCCTGTAAGTAGCTCTGTGTTTTCTTGCTTTCGAACTTTGTACGTTGATGGGAACCTTTGGGTGCTGCTTGCATTTAGAGGGGGATGCTAATGGCAGGGGGAACAAGCCTCCAATATCTGTTTATCTAGGCTCTGAGGCCCTGCTCCTCTTCTTGGCGAATAACGTGTACTGAACTAATTTAATTGTACAAAATCCGGTAGCCTTCAGCCACACAGGAGTAGCCTCCTGTTCCCGTCAGGCATATGTGAAGTGAGATCCTGCCATTATCCCTGAACCCATGTGAGCTGTAACAAGATCGACGACGGTTGCATTGATCCTGGACGCGCTGGGCTGCGACACAGTGAGAAACAACAGGGTGAAATATTCTTGAAGCAACTGTCCCTTCTTAAAGCAATGAGCCTCCCGAATATAGCGGTTTACGCTTGTGGCCATGGTGAGAAAATAAAGCAAGACGCAGCACTTTCACCGCTGACTTCTATATGCCACAACCAGCTGTTAGCAAGCTGATGTGTCCAGTCAGCGTGGGCCCCAAATGAGCAACGTTCGACTGAAAATATTCAAAGGATCGTATTGGAGTTGGTTGGTTAGCAAGTGGCACGGAAGTTGTGCCGCGGGAATAGGCAATGCAGCAGTACAAGAGTCATCCAACCTCTCCAGCTGCAGGCTCCCATACGTAACCAAATGACCGTTGTTTTGAGTGCCCGAAATCCACGCTGACAATAGAATAACGTTGATATCCTTGATCGGAAGTGCTTCGTCATCATATGCTGTGTTCTGCACGTCAGCGAGTCGCGGCGACAGATTCGTTTCTTCTTCCCATCATAGAAGGTTTGTAGGAAAACGTGGGCTTTTGTCATGAGACGGTGGGCTTATATGAGACGACCTGCTTGGAGAAAAATGTCTTCAGGACTGACTTTGAGGATACCGCTCCACCCTCTGTCTTCTGAGGTAAGCGACTGTGGCGGCACCTGAAGCTGCTTGCCATCTTCTGGTTGACAAGAAAACGGTTGACTGCAAAGTGGACAGGAACTTTGAGGACCCTCAGGCCCCCATGCTGCAGTAAGAAGGCCACACAAGCCACAAGCCTCCGGGTCTCCTGGGCCACCATAGGGCCAAAAACTGTCTGGGTCACCAGGCGAACTAGAAGCGCCAGCAGCTGGCACTGGCGATGGTGAGTAACGATTATCGCCAGCCTCCTTCGCTGAATTGTGCTCCATAATGCACCTGACATACCGAATGGGAAGGCCAGTCGCTGCACACCAGGGGAACGAAAAATCACAGGATGGACAGAAGCATTCCCAGTAGGAGCTGAGTGCATTGCAGTTGGGACAAGGGAGCTGAGGCGTCCATGGAGCCTCTTGCATTTCTCTACTTGAAAATACCAGACGTTTTGTTGCTTCCAGGCTCTGTTTGCCGCCTGGTGATACTTTGGCATCCATCTGCATCACGTGCAACGCTTGCGAGCACAGGTCCCACTCCTTCGATTTGTAAGCGGAGATGAATAAGAGGTGCGCGCTGAGATACAAAGACAGCTGCCGTTCGTAACACTCCCACAGTCTCACTGCTGTGCAAAGAGCGGCACGGACTCGCTGTTCAGATAAATGGAAACAGCAGAGAAGGTACAGGTGGTATGCCGTTGCGCTCTGCCAATGGTACTCTTCTTCGGCACTGAGCGAGTAGGCCGAAATGCTTCTAGCCTTTCTTGAGAAGTCATATTTCTCACTGGAGGCGCTGCAGGCAATTTTCATACTGGGGGTAACTAAAATATTCTCGTTTTTGAATCCACTTTTATAGTGGTGCTTTCGGGCTAGTAACGCAGCTATGATATGCATTTTCCGCTGCCTTCGGGGATTCTGCGGTAGATGTCCCTGGTGCCTTGGCAGACCGCCAAGCTCTTGAGCGGCAGCTTCAAATGCGCCTAAAGTAAGGAATGCTTCCACGATATCTGCGTTACTGCATTTTCTGTGGTGATGCTGCATCGCATTCTTGTAACCGGAGGTTACCGCCTGCAATTTGGTGCTGTTACAGTGCTGTCGAGCTATGGAGATAGCCTGTGCCCATTCGCCACCGAACATGGCAGCATCAACTGCAAACTCCGGCTTCCGTGCTCTGAGGAAGGCATCCGCGCTTGCTGCTCCTCTCCCCGCAGCCGCAAGTAACTGCGCTGCTCGTAACAGTAACTCTGTGTCTACTTCCGGCAGTTCCCTGGCGAGGCCTTCTAGTTCTTCGTACCTCCCAGAATGGAAATATGCCTCAAGAAGTCCCATCTGATGTTTCAACGAACTGTAAATGTCTATTGCCTGTTTCCAATTCCCTTGCTCTTTCCAGGCATCTGCCAATGCCACTTTGACCTTTCGTAAAGAGCTTCTTTCTCCCCAGCTCTGTGAAGAGGCAGCTAATTTTAAGGTTTCTGAGGCTGCATCCCACATGCCGAATGAAGTAAATAAGTGGGCAGCGTGCTCTAGTTTCTGCTGCGCCTCATAAAAGGCGCCTGCCCCAAGGATGTCTCCAGACAATGCAGCTATAAAGGGTCTGCCTTCACCCCTCGGGTTCAGAAGGCGAGCTTGCTTGAGCACCTGCAAACTGCAGTAGTCCTCACACCTGAGTCCTCACACGAAAGAAGCGTAACATGAGAGAATTCATTAGAAGATATTAGCAGGTAGGTGACACAAGGACACATTTGGTGCTTCATTTACGTGAGCCACTAGAACTGCATTCGTGGTTGCATCCAGTTGGTGTAACAACTGTTGCTGTTTTGCTCTCACAATGTGCTGTTGTCGCCACCAGTCTGTTGGAGGACGAGGTTGCAAATACCTACCTCACGAGGGCCTCCTCTGTGATCCCCAGCTCCTCGGATGATAATGCAGCCTCCGCAAGTAACCGCCAAAGAATGGGGTGATTAAATCTGGCGGCGAACGCGGCAGCCCGCTTCAGGCCCGGAAGCCCTCCTGAATCACCAGTTTTTCTTTGGCATGTTCCAAGCAAATGCCGCATCTGCAGGAGTGGTTCTGCATCAAAAGTTCTCAAACATTCCTGCTGCGGTAGAGCTGGCTTTTGGTGGAACAGTAAGGAGAAGCAGAGAGCCCTTGCACACAGGTTACAGAACTCAACCAGGTACAGGGGTCCAACGGGATGATTCTTAGATGCCTCAACACACCCAAAGGAAGAGGGACTCCCGTCATGACATCTTGTGTAGAAAAGCAGTAAGCCTGTCTGCTGCATTACTGCGATTAGGTCATCGTGATCTGACGCCCACATGTAATCGAGCACAGCTTCGACGGGCTCTGTCAGCAGCGATGCAAAAGAAGATGAGCGGCCTGAGACACTCGTCAACAGATGCATGCTGGGCTTCTTATCACCGAGTCTTTTTGAGACGAATTTCGCGCCACCACATCCCATGATACGCACCACAGTGATGGCCATGCCGTGCACAAACTGTTAGAGGTTAGATATGTAGCTTGCCGGTATGCTCGTGAGAAGCGATGGCGGTTATAATCTGCAGCCGTCCGTTCAAGTCCACCCCTGCAAGGGCCGTTGCATCTCTGTTAAGCTTCAGGTTGCACAGCCGAATTGGTATGACGCCAGAGGCCTCGAGCTCGATTTGAGGCTGCGTTGGAGAAGGGCGTAGCCTCAGCAACTGACCGGTCGACCGTGCTACTATTAAGCATCTGCCACGTCCATCTAAAGCGCATGTATTTCCGTTGCACGTGCCACTGGAAGGCAACTCGCACAGACAGTTTAAATCTACCAGTGTAGACAGCGGGACCGCGGCACTATTTTCCTCACGGGCTAGATTATAAAGCCAGAGATGGTGTGAGCTGTCTGCTATCACTAGCCAGTGAGTTAGTAGAACGGCTTGCGTCGGGCCAATTGGAGAGACCACAGTCTCCACAGTGTTGCCTGAAGTGTCGCATAGTTCTACGGGAAAACCTTCTTGCCCCGTTTTTCGTGGAGGATTTTTGGCGGCAGTCGGTGATTCTTGGAAGCCGTTATCATCAGCTAGGCGGTGCGGGCCTTCCTGGTGCTGTGATTGCAGCAAGGCACCAGAGCGGTCACCCTGCCAGAGAAATGTAAGTGGTAGTGCAGGTGTGGCTTGCGGCACAACAGCACACACGGAATCTCCAGACACGAGAAAGCGGGGCCCCCTGAAGCGTCGGATAGTACGGTAGCCTCCTGGTTCGCGAAGAAACGAGACCTCTGTTGTAAGCTGTTTGTGGCAGAAGGGATCTACTGCTGCCAAGGAATTTTCCCCATATGAGCAACACACAGCATGCCGGCGCAACGATATTATAAAAACTTCTTTCTCCGCCGCTGCAGCAAGCCGTTCGCCACAGATGGTCCAAGCTAGAGCTCTGGGCTCTGAATTGGCCAAGTTCACAGTGGCCATTAAGTTGCCACAGGCCTGTACCAACACTACCAGCGTCCCAGCAACGAGGCTTTGCCCTCGTATCCGTTCTACCATTCCTTCCCGTTCTCCTGTGAGTTGCCTCGAGACATATTGCACATCCAGGGCAGGGAGGCCAAGAAATGCTGCTAGCAAGCCTGAGGGATTCCACGCCGCATCTACGCATGCAGAGAGGCCAGTCTCAAATGAAAGTGGCTGAACGTCTCCATCAGGCTGCACGAGCATGCCGCGGCCAGTCGAATACGCAACTAGAATTGGTCGGACGGACCAAGACCCTGGCTGCCAGGCCAGCGCTGAGGACAAAAACAAGAGCCGCATTGTGCACTGCTACAGAAACAAAACAATTGGACGCATTACATACGATTTTATAGGAAAGCCCACAAGTAATTGGCTAACCCTTTATGGCCTCTTGCCCTGCAGCCTCAGCCTTCAGACCCAACTTCCGTATGTAAATACCCCTCGAATCATGAAATGCCATTTCCCCGTCATTTGATGCTAGGACGAAGCCGGTTCCATTGGGAGAAGCGCAAAAGCAGGAGCACGCCTTCTTTACGTCACGGGACCACAGTTGCTGGCCCTCAAGGGCCACACACAGCAGGTGGCCACCATCGTGTAGTAGGCAAAGGGATATTTGTGAGGGGACGCCCCCAAAAGGGACCCACTGAAGACCCACTAATGCCCCTGGGATCCCAGGGCGAAAAGAGGACAACTGATTCCATTGTCCTTTAGCCTCTTCCCAAATCCGGATGTTTCCATCTGAGTCCCCAGTTGCTAGTATGCCACAGACGGCGTCTGCAGACACGCAGCACACGGGACCCTGAAGCAACGTACACATGACAGAGAGACAATGGCATCTGTCCGAACGAATTTGAAGATGGTGGAAGCTGCCCTCACTAAAACAAGAAGTACCGCTATAGTTAGTTAACGCGCTCACCGAATGTGCACTGAGACATTGGGTGTGCCAGACTTCAGCATCTTCACTTCTGATGGATCCGGTGTTCGCAGAAGCCTCTATACCAGGAAGAGGGGACACAGGTGGGATTTTAAGCGTCTTCAAACTCCCACAGTCAGTCCCAATGAAGAGCCACTCACCCTGCCAACTAGTGCTGCGCACCGAGCTGCATGGAAGTACTCCTTCAATGATGCAGTGAACAGACATCCTTCTGGAAGACAAATGGTCATGTGATCGTCACAGAAGGATAACTAACGGTTCGGCACTGGGGCGAGAGTAAGGCGGTGTCTCGCCCCGTCGAGCCACTTAACTGCCCCGCCGATGGCAACAAGCAAGGGCGGAGGCAAAGAAAATTTATTTCAGAAAAGCGCTTTTTGTAGGGAGAATTTGGCCATTCATTTCTCTGTGCACCTGCCAGTGATGAGGTGGAGCTGCCTCCAGAGCGATTCTCATTCCACTGCCGACCGTGAGCGAGGCCTCAGCATCCTTCTCCCTGACTAATTAGAACCCCTTTGAAATCGTTCCGTATGCTAGGCAACGATGCATTCAGGACTTCTTAATTACACAAATGCAGTGCCTTAACAACTATTAGAGCGGGGCGAGGCGACGGATTCTCCGTTTTTGAGTGCAGCTCTTAGTTTGTTGCGGGGTCGGCTGCCCTGGCACTCGCTGCACATGGCAATATATTGCTATCAACTCTACCAACGGTTTGCACGAGGTCGATGGTATGCCCCTAATAAACTGAGTTTGCTTGCTCCCACATCATGCGGGACTAGACACCCGAGGAGCCTTGCTGCATTGGTCTTCGTAGGTCCCCTTCAGTGTCGGTGAAACGTCATACCACTGAGCGCTAGGATTTCACGAATATGGAAGGGCATGCTCTAAGTGGGACATTTGGTTCCTTAGGGACAGGCAGTTTCAAAACATGGCCCCGAACACGCGCCGGAGTGACCCTCCTGCAGAGCGAGCTGAAACAGATGCAGGCGATCGCCTCTGGAATTCCCCCAGGGGTAGACCCTCAAAGGCAGCTCGAACTGCAACGCATGGCAGAAAAACAGAAGGTAGCAGCGGAAAGAGTTTCGGGGTGGCAGAACTTGCTTTGCAACGCAAGACAACGCAGGCTGCTCGAGCGACAATTGCAACAACAGCGAAGGGAGGAAGAACTCCTCAAACAAGACGAGGAAGAAGATAGACGCCGGCGGGAGCTGGAAAAAGTTTTAATTGAGAGAGCTGAGGCTGTGGTCGCGGCAAGAGATGAAAAGATTAGATGCTTCACTCGTGCACAAATGATCGCGGACACGATAGCGGGGCAGAGGGAACAGCTAAGATGGGCAGAGCAAAAGCGTTCCATGGAGAAGATGCGTCAACTGGACTTCCTGAGAGAGCAGCAAGATTTGAACAGGCAACTGGTTGAGAGAGAGCAGCGTGACAAGCAGGAGCAGCAAGCGAAAGCTGTGCAAGCTCAAGCCTTTTTACGGCAACAGATCGACGAGATGGCTCAGCGTAAAAAGGAAGAAAGCGAAAAGCTGGCTGCTGAGGCAGAAGCAACAAAAAGGCAACTCGAGGAGGAGCAGAAGGCAGAGCGCGAAGCGGAGAAAGCAAAGCAAGCTGAGGTCCATTCTACACCTGGATGCTTCCTTCCCAATTCACGCCGGCAGGGGATAACCAAAACAATTTGAGCAATTCACACAGATCAGCATGCTATATGCATTTTACCACGGCGCTGTTGACCTGAGCACTTTAACGCTACTGTGTTTTAGTTGTAACCATGCCAGTCCTGCGTATCTGCCATTGCATTGCTGCAGTCTAAGCGCCTTTACAGAGAACTAGTGAGAGCAAACGAAGAACTTCAAGAACGACGCAAGGCGGCGGACGTCCAGCAGAAAGCCGAAGAAGCTCTCGCCTTCGCTTGCGCCTCAAAGCTCCAGCAGAGAGAAGCAATGATACGGAAGAGAAAGGAAGAACTTAGGGCTTGGGCCTTGGAGAGAAGCGCAAGGCTTACAGCTCAAGGAGCTGCAGCTCTCGCAACTGCTCAGGTAAATGCTTCATCTGGTGTGTTAAGGCGCTGCTTCCGTGGGGCAGAAATGCGGGGAGTGAACGGTATGGCGTATATCCGTTCCCTCATCCCCTCGCTAGGACACCTTCAGCTCCTGATGTGTTTCCAGCTTATTGACGCTCTATTTAGGCAGAAGAAGCCCGTCACCAGGAAATTCAGGTTGCGCGCTTCGAAGCAGATGCGAAACAGGCAGAAGAAGCAGAGCATCTTCGGCGGATGACCATGCAGCTGCAGCTGAAAGAGAGTAGAGACGGCCAGGTTGAAGCAAAGCGAAGGGAAAAGGAAAGGAAGACGCTGGAAGACGCAGCATATGCTGAGTCCCTCAGCAGGGCAGCAGCTGCAGCACAGGAAGACGAAGATCGGAGGCTTCAGGAACAGCGTATGAAGCTTTGGAAAGTGGGGGAAGACCAAAAGCGTCAGGCAAGGGAAAGGCAGCAGCTGAAGAAGCTGCAGAGAGAACAGGCTCTTGAGGAAGAGAGGAGGGAAAACCAAAAAGCGCTTGAGGCCGACTTCATGATGCAACGTTTCGCTGAACAAGGCATTTCAGCAGCAAAAGCAATAGGAGCAGAGTGGCGCATTCTTGAAAAGGCCAAGAACAGATTGTTGCGTCAAAGCAGTTTATATAGGCCTCCAACAAATAAAGATGCTGATAGCGTCACGGCAACTCCTCTATCGCCGACACTTTGCAGGGAACAGAGAACAGTGGAAGCAGGTCATGGCTCCCCCGTTTGATCAAACGACAGGGCTAACATTGAGGCGACTCGTTGTCGACCAGGTGCATGCGTAGGGGTACTTATGGGGCTTCCCTACTCAGAGGCCGCCTCATCCCTGATGCACCTGATCGAGGAAAAAAGGCGTCTCTAGTGCTGACCAAAATGAGACTTTAAATATGCCTAAGAAATTCTAGTGTGATCGATATTCGGATTCAAACTGATTGACCTCCATGGCTGATGGTATGACAGTCCTAATGCGCTTAGTCCCTTTTTGCCCCTCTGCCCTGTTCGATATGACACTGTAACTGGGTACTATGGTTAGGCATGCTTCAAAACAGACCTATACTGTGTATCATCTGGCTTCGTGCATCGACTCCTGTTGGAAGCGACGTTCCATGGGTGACAAATGCCTGTGCTTCACGTGGCTATAACTGATATCGGGCCCATCCAGATGATAATTAGAAGCCGATGCCAGTGATTCCAGTCAGTGGAAGCTTTTAGAATGGCTTTGTTGGGGCAAACAGACGACCTGGCATTGACTCTACTTATTATCATCTGGGTGTCAATGATGTAAAAAATGCCTTCAAATGCATTTAATTCGCAGTGACCAGAGCCTATGGGGACACTGTGCATCTGAATAATGTGTTTGCAGTGTGCCGAGTTCACAAGCTCCCAGCCCCTCACTGTCGCGTGTCGCCCAAAAAAATTGCAACAGACAGAATGCTCTGCCAGTTGGCCTTCTCTTGTCCTACATACCGAAGGATTTCTGGGACCCATCCCCACGATAGTCACCTTCTAGGTGATAAATAGCCATAACGCAGATAGCGCAACTAGCAATTCCATTCCATACTTCCATCCCATAGGGGCACCGACCGCTGTGGGCCATCATTCTAAAGCGCTGGTGTTCGGAAAACAGCGTGTATGTGTGTATCCGTTGGTACAAAGCTGCAAAATGCAATGTGTGCACCTCTAAGGAGGACTCGTAACTGATTTGTCTAGAGGAAGTCTAGAGCTCAGACGACAACAGAGTCAAGGGCTGCCGGCTCGTAAATGTGAAGGTGCTCCGGAAATTAGACAGCCCCACATACACCAGTAAAAGGATGAAAAATTAAGACATACATGTAAATATTTAAGCAAGAGGAGGAAAAACAGGCGTCAGTTTGCGGTTACGCGAGGTGATGGGCCACGCTTGATGACTGGCAGTACAGTGTTCTTAGAACAAGGGGTGAAATATCAGAAGGGACAGTAAACTAAATGAATATGGATCGATCACAACAGTGTTCACCCGCGGAAGCTGCCCCTAGACAAAAAGATACAGCCAAATTGGGTCTGGTTCGCTGCACAGGAATGTACTTTGCAAAAATTCGAAGTGGAATTATTCGAGGGCTCCCGAAAATGTCGATTTGCACATTTTTTCTTCTTATATGTGATGAAACCTATATCTAAGAGTTTGCCTAGGTTTGCACCTACATTTAAGTAGCGCCAGCATCAACAATTCGTTCGTTTCAGTCTAGCCCACATGGGAACTTCACCGGGCTAGCTATTTCCACCATTACCCAGCGGCCCAAGAAAAGCAACTGAACAGGTTTCGTGACAACTCATCCAATGGAGTTGAACACTAATTTCAAGTTGAGTTGACAGCAGCATTTCGAGAAGGATCGGAGAGCAGCACAACAGGGAGACATGGCATGGGGACGGAGCCGACTGAACGTCCCCACTGGTCAACGGAAGCCACCATATATTTGTCAGCGCAACTAGGGGCGTTACTCTTAGAAAACCTGCACAATATCAATGGAATTGAGCATAAAAGATCAAAAGTTCTGGGAATAGGGCCGCAAAAGCCGTACCTCGTTGGAGCATACCACAGCAATGACGGCTCCACAGGTGCTGCCTCATACCTTACAGACGTGGCAGCAGCAACACCAACAGTTACTGCAACTGCTGAGAAGGGACCTTAACAGACTAACCGACAGCAATACGGTGATTCGCTTTCGTGGGGTGAGGGGCATCCTCCGCGTGTACGAAGAGGAAGCTGCGCGAAGAGCGCCGGGGAGTGACCAAGCTACCACAAGTAGCAACAGCCATCAAGGCCTCAGAGGGGATCCTAACTGCTCACCTTGCGCCTTTTCAGGAGTGTTCTTGAGTAATGTTTACGCCCCAGTCTCTGTCTTGTGTGCCGATGAAGCATCAGAGTCTTGCCGGGCAACGGCGTTAGAGCTCGTTCAGTTAGTAGTAAAGAAGTTTCTCTCAAGACGTGAGGTAACACACATATGTATGGGTAGTAAAGATACCGACAATAAGACGTACTCTTGGGGAGGAGACTGCAGGAAGTGCTCCTCAAGTACAACTTTAATCTGTGGTCGTAACTGCGCGGGTGACACCTGCAGCGTCAGCAGTGGCAACTCAGAAGCGGCAAAGCCTCTAGTAGCAGTCATAGCAGAAAGACTAAAAGAGTCCTCTAGAGAAGTGGAAAAAAGCGAAGAGCTCAGATTCACTAACATGCAATTCCTGCAGCACCTATTACAGCACGCCGCAGACCCGCCCGTTTGGAACTGCAGTCGACGCCAGCACAATCAGCAACCCCAGGCAGTATCTCTAAGCGAAAGGGGCTGGAATGCAACAGAATTTGCAGATTGTTTGTTGGCTGGGGTTTCTAGCGCACTCAAAGACAAAAGCCCGTCCAACGCCATCGAGGCATGCCGGCTCCTGTCGGCAATTTCACAAAAGGTGGAAGTATCTGTGTTGCTTCAGGTAAGCGGCTGAATGGTGAATCAGCCTGGCTTTCTTTCTTTCTGGAATCCCCTGTGTGCGTGGTGTAAATCTGAGCTCAGATATGATCCCTAGACTGCAAATCCATATATGCTTGCGCTTCCTCCTCAGAGCTGCAAACAGTTGCTGGATCGCCTCGTTAGTTGCCTTTTCAGACCCCAACGGGCAGTTAGATGGGTAGGTTCGAAATCACATAGTACATTCGAGAACTCACGGTACGCGAGGAAACCCTGACAGTTCTGTTTGAAACCCGTGGTGCCGGTGCTACGGCGACTGGATATGGCTACGTGTGTAAATGCAAACAGACATGAATCGAGATAAAATATCACATAAAATATATTACGAAGAAGCTTAGTGAGCTGCCCACTAAATGACAGCTTCTGTCCGTGATTTTCAGCAAGCGACGGCGGCCTGTGATGCTCTGCTAGGGTCGATTTCCTCTCGTGCGGCAGTTGCCGAAGGTGGTGTTGCTGCTGCTGCAAGCCACCTACGGACAGCTGCTACAGCAATTAGACCCCTGCTGCAGCAGGAAGCTGCAGCGCAGAATAAGTAAGTTTGTCACAAACTCGTGCAAGACAGAGCCACCTTACTGGTTGCCAGGGGATGGAGATAATACTTTCATCATCTGTTTCTATTGGTATTGCTGTCGCAGACTGAGAATGGTGCAAATGCTGAAACGCTTGGTACAAGACATGTCTCCCCGGGTCTTACTGCGAAAGAAAGTGCTCCCTCACATTCTGCAACTGTTCCTGCTTCTGATGGGGGATATAGACCAAGCAGTTTCCCAGGAGGCAGGCGAAGCATTGCATGTAAGGGAGAAGTTGTAGAACGATTGATACTGGAGCCTCTATTAGAGGTTAAAGGAGACCTGTTTATTCCAAAGGCGTATGCTGAAGGTAGGAATTGCTGTAACGTTGCAGAGCGTCGCACCTCGGTGCGTTTTCCTATCCCGGAGAAGAGAACAACATCGACATTGGACGGCAGAACAGACGCGATCGGGAAAACTCAGCAGTGAAGAAGAGGCGTATACAAGCGGCGATACAAGCGGCAGTGAAGATATTGTAGGAGTGAGTGAGCGGCTTTGCGGTGCGCAGTTGCGCAGGCAACCGATGGATTTTGGAACCACACAGCCGACAAAAATACTAGCAAATGTAAAAAGCTGGTTCCCTTCACTTTTACCATAGTAAGCGTAGATCATGTTCGCCAATGCTCCTGCTGCAGGAGCCCAAAGATAAAGTGCCACAGAGAGCACAACTCACTCTCTCAGCCCCTTGCGAAACAGGCGCTGATACCTCCGGAGTTTACAACTCAGTTCAGAACCCTAGGGAGCCGGCGACTGAACTGGCAGGACTGCACTTGAAAGAATTACTGGCTGACGTGAGGCAGCTAGTTGCATCCGCTTGCATCTGAAAGAAGGCTCAAGCCAAGTCTATCTCTACCTACTGCAGTTTGGGAGCTTGTGGCCTTGATAATTAATGGTTATATTTGTATTCCCTTAGGAAACGTGCAAGCTCTTGCTTCTTCCTGTTCCCTTTGCAGCTCTTACCTCGCCTGACAAGTTGGTCTACTGATGAACGACTTGCTTCCCTGAGGGCTCTCGCCGCGCTAATGCCGATTAGCGGGCCTCGCCTGCTGCACGAGCTGCCGCACCTACTGTTGCAGCTTTACGAAACTTGCTCTATTGGAGAAGGAGGACCTCCAGCAAGCCGGCAGGATGAGCAGCAGCAGGCGTCCGCTCTGCTACTGCTTGTCCAACACTCAATTTTAAGGGAAATGAACATTCAAAGCGTTGCAGGAAGTGTCTGTAATGGCGACAGTGTCAACGAGCCGTGGCATCGCGGGGGCCTGCAAGAATTGGGAGCCTGTAGTTCTCTGTGCAACTCTCTCGAAGCCGTCGAGCTTGCACTCCAGTGTACGGGGCAGGTTGCTTTGCTGCTGCCTCCATGTTGCTGGCTTCCCCTGATCGCTGTCCACCTAGGTTTACAAAAAGAAGTTCACCTGTACATACAGGACAAGGAAAGGGCACTGGCGATTGCCGTTGCAGAGAAGACGGAGCGCCAAGTAGAGATGCGTTCAGAGGGTGCTGCTCAAGAGGAGAAAGAGTTTCTGCAGATGTTTCCCGGAGGGTACAAATTTGTAGTTGATACACTCGGGCTGAATGCACCCAAGCATTTCCAAAATCAGCACATGACGGCCCTGGGCGCTGCCCCTGGGAAAACCTCTTCCGCAGTAAAGCATATCTGCTCTTCCGAATCACGAAAACAAGCGCTGCTGCTTCTAGCTCGCCTTTTAAGAGGGCTTAAGAGATATAACAGGAATGAAGGACAGCAGGAGGTTAAGAAACAGCAAGTGCACATGGGGGTTGCGAAGGAGACTCACCGGGGGGTCTACAGTTTAGGCAGAGAAGAGCTCTGGCTGTTAGTCCGAATAATAGAGCAAGTGCAAGGACCTGAATGCGGCACAGATAGCGAAGACAATATGCCCTTTACAGCTGCTCTTCTTTTACAGCTGCTGCATGCGGCTGGCGAGCTATGTCAAATGGAGACGAAGAGCCTCTTTGCAGCTGCATTGCTACAGCAGGTCGACTGTCGAAGTCACCAAGAAATAGCGCGAGAGATGGTGGGGCACATCCGCTGATTCAGTATCAGCTTAGGGTTCACCAGCCCTTGCCGTTTTTCAAACGGCTCTGCCATGCGGTGATTCATGCGACTATTGCATTGTAATGGTTTGCACCCGTGTGGGTCCTCTAATGGCTATCATGCTCTGTCTGGCAGGTGAAAAGTGTTTGCGAATACACTGGTGAACAACCACTGAAGCTGTATCTTGTTTTTCTTGACGACCTCGTTTCCAGCGAACTGCATGATGACTGTCTTGGAGAGGACGGTGCTAGTACACTGTCTCCAAGAATGCAACCAACAGGAAGTTTGCAAGTGCTGTGGAGTAGCAATAATGCGCGAAGGCTGTTGCTGCTCCGAGCCCTCCACGGGGCACAGGAAGCTGCAGATTCCGAGGAGTCTCCAACTGATTTGAACTGCCTAAACATGTGTAACCTTGTAAAAGTACGGAGGTGCAGGGGTCTCTAGGCTCGTGGAAAGCCTTATCTGGAGTTAGGCCCACCTGGAAGATTGGAGGTATCTCATATATGTCGCTGTTTTTGCAGCTTCTACAGAGACAAGGAACCGCGCAGGAAGCTACAGCGCCAATGCGCGGTGATATCCTTGGAGCCTGCCTGGCACTCTTTTCTCTCCGGTTGTTCATACCACTTGCACGGTAAGCCCCCGCATGCGGCTTCGTACAAGTATCTCTGGCGATTTTGTTTTACAGCTTATACTTAGTTGTGGCCGTGCGAAATATGTATCCCATCAGGCCTTATGGGGGCTGGCTGCTGGAGCATCTACTGGTACCCAATCTGCGCTGGCGGCCCGGAGAAGCAAATGCAAAGTTGCGCAAGGTACGCAAAAGACGAAACGTGACTGGCAGTGGCAAGCGCGAAATTCATCGCTATATCAAGCAAAGCACGCACTAGGCAAATCACGGGTGGTGAAATACTCAGGTCGCCCTTCTATGCGTTTCGCAAATAATTCCCACGCTGTCAACAAGCCACATCCCGCCCATTTCCAGACCCCACAAAGAAAATAAAGGGGACTATGAAAACTCACAGGATGAAGGTTTCAATGAAGTGGGAGCAGCCAACCACCTGACAGCAGCCACCGACAGGCGAGACCGGCCTCCAGCAGAACCGCAGGGGTCAAATGACAGCCAAGTGAAAGTTAGGCCGGTCATAGCGGCAGTTTCATTACTTTCCCCTCTGTTGATATCTTGTATGGATGATGACTGGAATGCTGACGTCCGTTCTTTAGCAGTTGGAGTTGTCCGACAGTTGTTTTTGGACCTTCACGTGAGCCTGATGCCCTTGCTGGGTGCAAGGGTATGATTGACAACGATACGCCGACACAGCTGTTGGGTCCCACTTCATTATAAAAAGCCCATATTGGCTTAAGGCCGAAAATAGGACGTCCGCTCCGAGTGCTGTGCTGCATTTTATACTGCATCGAATTACGTAAATGTCACGCCCCCCCCCATATTCTGGCTTGCGTAGGGGGACGAGGAACATCATGCAGCCTTGCAACAACTTGCTGCGGCAACAGCAAACCCTCTACAGCAACGGCTGGATGACGCTCGAGACGACATTCGCCTTGCTGCTACAGTCGCTTTACAGGCAATGCTGGAGCAGCGTCCCTCGATAATTCACCGTTCTGCTGCCATAGAAATTTGCAAAAGTTTGTGCATCTGTTTAGACGACCGGAGCGAACGCCTGTTCACCGCAGCCGAAGCAGCTCTTCTAGCTGGCGCTGTGGATCTAAAACCTATAGTACTCGAGGTACGCACTACGGCCATTTTAGCTACGACAGCCAGAAGCTTTCCAGCTGAGTACTCGCCAAGTGGAGTCCATATCTAGCTACTCTAGGTGAACTACAGTGCAGTGAGAGGTAATGAAGCCGGCATACTTTCTCTGTTGTAGGAACTTCAAGCAACGGAGTCAAGCTGCCTTTACCCTGAAAGGTATAGGCGAATTCGTCAGAAGCTGCAGGAGCTTCCAGAGGTCTAGCTAGTTCAACTGAGTTGCATTCTGAAGATAGACTGAATGTAGACAAAAAGCTGATCTCGACCTGGCACCAGAATCCATGCGCGGGTGGCAATGGTCCTGGCAGCCGAATCCACGCGGGGGTGGCAATGGTCTTCTTAACGGCTGCTCTCCTCACCATCTTGCATCCCTGGGAAGCCTCTTGAATTCCATTCATTTGGGTTGAAGGAGCAAAACCTGTTTTGAGCTTTGGGCTCAGCAGCAAATGCCACGTCTGCAGACCTGTGTTGCTTTGGCCAAAGAATATCTGGATACGCTGTAGGGTGGTGAATGACCCTATGTGAGGGACCCGAGCTGGGTCCGCCTTTGGACACTCCTAGACAATTTGGCTCGAATTAACGGGCACGTACAGCCTTTGTAGTAGCCGAGCAATCGCCAACTCTCACAACAACTGAAGTAGGCAATCTGATTAGGAAATCGACTTAGCATGATTCAGCATACCGAGGTATGTTCTACAGTTGAAAGTATACCAAAACCGGCAAAGGGTTTGAGGAGGATCCTTCATTATAGAAGTTCTTGAAGTTTCATTCACTGCATTCTGAAGACAGACTGCCGAGGAGGTGATCATTCAAGCCCGTGTTGCTCCCTCTCGAGTTTGATGTACATATCCTGCTAAGGTTACCAACTAAGGATGGGAATGAAGCCAAACAAAAACGTTGCGTCTGCGCTGCATATATAGGGCAGTTTCAAAGGCAACCCCTGCAAAACGGGGGATGCACCTTGCCAGGGTTTCAGCGTTAGTTCGGCAAGGGTTTAGGCCCATGGACGCTTTGGAATAGCTGAAGCTGAAGAACCTAAGTGAATTTATTCCTACTAAGGAGAATTCCATTCCTTCACATGACCTCAAGCATAACTATCCTCCTCACCAAAAGCACGCCTGCGTTGACTGAATGATTTGTTGATTTTTTTTTTGTCGGCGCACTTAAGCACGAGAATTGGTTTTTCACGGTGCCTTCGGTTGGTTTCACCATTTTAGTTGCGGATTGCGCTGAACTGTAAATGGGTTCCAGCCTTCCTGCATTGCACGTATGAGATTAGTATTCTTCATTGCGCCGTGGCAGTTGAATTTCTTGACTCTCAAGGTCCAGCAGAACATGCTTAGGTGATTATACAGAGCCAAACCGCAGCCTGGGCCATGCGGATTTTCGAATGAATCTAGTTGGCGAGAACCTTTGACTGCCGTTCACCGACCTCGGAGGTTGTATGCTGGGGGGACGTTGGGGCCCAACTTCTAACACTTATCAAACTCGTCAATTTTGTTCCTCGTCTGTCTCTCACTGAAACCTCTACAAGCCTGCCTCCTGGGTGTTTGCTCCCTCATTTGTTTATTAAGTCTCAAGCTACGTATGTGTCTTTGCAGATACCAGACGGTTGTAATATTGCTTATTCAGGCATATTGACAATGCACAAGGATTCCACTTGCCGCTAGTTGTGGGACCCTGGTAAGGCAGTCGTAGGCTCCATTTGAAGGACACGACGAGCGAAGAAATCCCCAGATACATTGCCACGGGAGCAAAGTAAGGAGAGAGAAGGAGAGCCTGTTAGCACCTGCGGAGCCAAATGCGCATGGAGGCGCTGTCCCAACATGAATTCTGTGCGCATCTGCTAAATGAGCCAAGTCAATACGCAAGCAAACCTTTGTCTACTAAAGAAGCTGAACTTAGCATGTGTAGTCCGTCATATTCGAAAGGAATGCCGGTGACAACTGAAGTTGCAAGCTGAGCACCGAATCGTACCTCAAGGCAGTGGCTCAATTCAGTTTCTGTCATAGCCTCGCCTGTCTGAATCGGCACACATGCAGTATGTTAGGAAAAGGCAAGTCGTATAAATAGCAATGCGCGAAAACCAACAGTTAGGTGGCTTCATGGGGTAAATGCCCATTTGCCCACCGTTGTGAGCAGTTTTGTCAAGGTGTCGGGTGATATCTCGCCTCCGTCCTTGCCTTTACTCAATTGCTTGAATGCATCAAGTACGTCAGAGTATTGAAATGGACGGGAAATTCGTTGGTTGAGGTACAACTCGAGAAAACGTTCAAAAGTGATGTTGCCAGGTTTTGGAGGCGTTTCCACCCCTCCTTTTGATGTGGCAGCTGTGACCTGTCGATGCATGATGCCATGAGTACCACGGCATTCGCTTAAAAGGTTATGCAGATCCAGTTGCGTTGGCGCCTCACCCATAGCACACAGAAGGTTTGGGAGCTCTCTGACTGGCACAGTGCCTCCAAGGCGCCTGCTGCGTGTCGTCCGTTCCCCTTGGCTACGCAATTGAGAGTAGTAGAAGAATTCTTTGGCTGTGCGGTAGAATTTTCCCTGACATGGATATCAGCATATGCCCGCTGTGGCCGACTGACAAGATAATGAACCGTTCACTTCAAAAGTGAGTCTTCAACTTAAGAATATGGATTGCTGCAATGCCGTTATGCTGGTGGAGAGAACATAATGAGGAAATGACGTACAAGACTCTTGCCAGGGATACGAGAAAGAATTGATTCCACTCCTGGTGGGCCTGCAGCGAGACGGAATACATTGAACCAAGCAGATAAAGGAGACTACGATGGACGCCCGGGTTCATACAAACCTGGTCGCTGTATTTGGAGAGCCCTTACCTTTTCGGAACGATCTCTGAACCGCCTCATGGTTCACCCTCCACTGGAGAACCGTGAAGTCGCTTCCCCCGCAGGAGAAAAGCATAGTATGTCCATTGTGGGGAGCTGATGCTGCAACAGCGACGATTTGCCCAGCATGTGCGACTACGCTTACACTCTTGAAGGGATCGCTGCAAGCACAGAAAATGCACTGTAAGTCTACTTGTTGATGCATACACTTCAAGAACGCTGCAAAATATACGCCAGATCCAGTAAAATACCAAATGGCATTTTGACCATTTTAAAAGAAGGCAGAGCTGCATAGAGAGAATGGAGCCAAACTAACCCGTCAAGTGGAAGTTGGAATATGCCTAGGAGTTGCTCCTTACAGGCGCCGAGAAGAACCGGCCTGAAAATCAGACCAGCCGCGCATTTATGCCGCCACAGCTTTAAGCTAAGGAGTAGCAGCGCCCCTGGGTTAATAATTTCAAAAGTAGAACAATGCAACTCTTCGTGGTAGGTGCTACTATGCACTGCGTATGCAGGAGATCCGCTTACCGGAATTTCCCCTCCGCATCTGCAGCGTTGGCCCAATCCTGGACCAAAGCCAACTGAAGCACGCCACCGTTCCCAATTGCAACAGAGGCAGTCTAAGAACAGGTGAATGCAACCAAGCACCATGGCATCTTGGAGGCTCCACTCTGAGGGGCTAGCCGATCAGAATTGTGCGATATGCTGCCCGCAAGGCTGTTTACTGTTAGCAGTAAGTTGGCTGCCTTTGTAGATGAGGCTCACCTTTACACATGCCATCGAATTCGCACTCCAGATTGTTGCTTTTGCTTCTGTTGAATAAATGAGAACTTCAGTGTCAGGCTCACCAGCCTAAAAACGGCCCACTCTTCACTCACGCTGCTAGGGGTCGGCTCATGAGAGAACACCACGAACAGTTTTGTCACAACGGTAGCTGGCGAACGGGGATGTCAGCTGTTTGCTCCTCATTGGACTGGGTACAGTTTTTCTTTACTGGTTTTTCACAGCTCACAGGAGACGGCAGAGCTAAACAGCCAGCTGGTAAGGCGCGTTGCTCAACTATGCGAGACGCCCGCTTGAGAAGACCTAGGAACATTCGGCCATTGCCTGGTCTCCCATTTAGGCACGTACAAGATGTTTCATGGTAGTCCAAATGACCTGCCAACTACGATGCTGTTGCAACAGGAACTCAAATGCCATAGCTTTTACACTGCGTAAAATGGGGGCTTCCATGACTACCCCTCTGAGGAAGCTGCAACGTATCTACTAGGAGGCGACTTACCCGTGTGCTCAAATGAATTGGTGAGATCATACTCGACTAGGCTTCGGTCTTCACCTACGCTGAAGAGGCGGGGGTATCCTTCTCTATAAAGGTGGGGAGATGCTGTCGGGAGGGGATGTTGTGACGGGCGCGATGCAAAAGACTGCGCTGGGCCAACCAAAGCTGCGGCAGTTGGCCCACCGCCAGCAGGTGGCATGCTCGGCAAGGGAGGCTGACCGTTTGAATGGGCGAAAGAAAGACCACAAATTCTTCTATAGTGTGAGCGATGCTTTCCTACAAATAGGGCGTTTGCGCAGCATTCGCGGCATTCTTCGCCAGGCAAAGGCCTTCTACCCCAGGAACTACGTAGTGCCTTAGGCAAACACTGCGAATAAGCAGTGCTTATGCACAGGGACACCCTACAGACTGCTCAGGGCAGGGACACCCTACAGACTGCTCAGGGCAGGGACACCCTTAAGACTGCTCCTTAGCAAATGTTCGCTTTGAGGATGCCTCTAGAGGCGTCAACGTGGAATGTGCTCACCTGCAAATGTCCATTCCTCAGGGAGTTGCGGATTGCCCAAACGACAGTCGAAACTGGAAACACAAGGTCCAGAAGGTCGAGACGGTAGACATCCAGCATTGTGCCTGAAATGCTTTGTTTTCAATACCTCCGTAAAAAAGTCTCGTCTCACCGAAAAAGGCAAACGAGATGGTCCGCGTGGGCGACAGCAAGGTGGGTAGAATTACGGCAAAACGTACACTACAACGGGACAGCACAGAGACATGTGAATTCTGCGAAATAAGAATGGCTCTCGCCAATCGTGGAGCTGCTCTTTAAATCTAAAAGCGTGAGGCGAGTGATCACTAACATGGGTAACTGCGTCTCGGCTTTCCCGTGTGCTAATTAGTTCAGGCATCCAATTAGAGATGTCGCCACCCAACGCTGTTGCAGTAAAATTTTCGGGAATTTTAAATTCGCATATTTTCACTGTCCCGTTGCTAAAGCCAATAGCCAAAAATACTCCTGACGGGCTGAATGCTGCAGCCTGCGGACCCAATCACTTAAGAAGAGGAAGAGAACATTTGTGTCTGGAAACGCAGATATGTGCGTTTGTATCTTAGATGTAAATGCCAACGGAGTGGAGGTGCAAAACAATTGCCGCCGGATTGTGGCTTTACATTTAGTGCATGTCTCACTGTGGGCGATAGTTTATCGAACCAGACATTGCCCAGCAGTGCATGACTGACCGTATTCCAGAATCTTACAAAGCCTGAGGCTCATAACTATAGCATATCTTATTACTGGAGAGTAACAAAGACTCACGTGCAACACAACCCGGCTACGAATGCTGCCACAAACGGGACGAAGATAATATGGGGCACAATGGAATCAATTCAAAAATTTTGCAGAGGTACGTGTTGTACCTGTGACTCCAGCAGCAGCAAGAATTGGCTTGACTGGGTGAACGACAAGAGCTGTTGGTACTGAATCCAATCCCTCAAAAATATTTACGATCCTTCTGTAGAGTAGACAGTTGCGCATGATACATGAATTGTAGACAGGGCTCCTAAGGGGAGGCGAACAGCAACAGAGCCGTCCTTGCAAACTTCGTTGCAACCCACGCTTCCTTCAAAATTGGTTCAGCAGCCGTTGAACCTTCACTTGGAGAAACTTCTATAATCCTAGCCTTAGACGTCGATACCACGAACGCTGGAAGTCGCTGAAGATCTGCCATCCACTGTCGCCTCGCACTTGCTGAGGCCTTCTTTGAAGCGGAAGCGGAGCCTTCCAGGTGTGGACGAGACTGTGCCACTTTCACAAAACAACCATTTTACGGCAAAGTAATTGTGAACGGCAAGTGTAATCTAGTGAGGGACGGCGGAAAAACCGGCTTTCGAGGCGGCCAGTTGAGCAACAGCCAAACCAAGCAATATGATCAACCTCTTCAGACCGCTTGCACTTCCGAACCAGCAAAACGACTGTACAGTAACTAGTTTCAAGTCGATTTCTGCTTAACATACTGGTGTCGGGTGCTGTAGTTTCCACGAATGATAAACACTTTATTTGACCCTGAAATAGCAGCACTAAGAGCATGAAGCATGCCACCTGATGACGAGTGGAAGAGGTCCGAAATTCTAAGCAGACACAAGCTGTTTATGCTACCTGGACGACTGAAGAAGTGTGGGATTTCCTCACAGCATCTAAGTCTTCGAAACAACGAACCAGGCGGAGCTGTGCGTCATAGAAACTGCGCACAAAATCTATCGGATGCTATTGATGCAGGACCGCAGGCCGCTCTGTTAAATGAAGAGGCCACATATTTTCATTGGGCTGTAAACTGCTGCTAGCAGAGCAGAAGGTGTCTCTCTCATTACTTACCACACTGCTCCATCCGAAAACCCCGCAACAATCCACCGGTCGTGAAATGTTTTCAGACAGGTCAAGCATGAGTTGCGTAATCTTAGGATCGAAACTGCCCTGCGCTCATCGGGTCTACTGAGTCTGCAAAGTGGAACGCAGGCCAGCAAGCGCCAAGTTCAACTTTGCCACTAGCGAACTCCCCAAGTGAATGGGTTTCAGGTTCACCACATAGTTTATGAATTCCGTAGGCCAAGTGGCATCGATTGGAACGACTACATATATGGAACTGGGCTAAGAGTACATCGATTGTGCAGTAGACCTTTCAAACGAATCCTCAATATTGTAGGCATACCCGTCAAGAATAAGACTTAAGTTCCACATAACTAGGTCTCCGTCGCTGGTACCTGAAAATGAACCTTTAACACCAGGTGGAGTATGCATCGCGGTGGAGTTTTCTACTGCTTTGTGAACAAAAGGATACTTCAGATGCCAAGTATTTTTGCAGCGAGAGAGGGGAGCTACCAGAGAGAGCTTTTGTAGACCGTGGCACAAACAGCGACGTAGTTATATCTCCTATCTTTTGTTTGAAAGTCTTCGATTGGAGCGCTGGAGAGTAAAAGTGAAAGGAGGAGTCTTCAGCATGCCAATACCAAAACAGGACACGCCTTCTTCCGCTCGTCAGCAGCTCGTTCACGTCCCATTGATTGAACCGAATCTCATGCTGCGCAGGCGCGAAATATCACTATTCAGTCTTAGCGTATGTCATGTGCGTATTCCAAGCAGCTCACTAAACTCTCTGCTTCTGAGAGCATTAAAACAGCGCTACTGGATGTCGACTAGAGGCCGAGTACGAGAACGTCACCTGGATATCTGGTGTGGCTATGACAGCAACTCTCAACGGCGAATTCCTGAATTCCATGAAAAAAGCCTATGCGGTGTATTTTTGTTTCAGCTGGGATGTTTATGGCGAAATTAGCAAGAATCAAGAGTGGGAAGCAGATAGGTAGACCTGCCCGGAGTCTTTCCAGTTCCAGATTGCCACTCCTTGGTAGATGTCTGATGGAACTGCGCTTCCGTTTCTATTTGTAGTGTCGGAATAATCTGCACGCTCAGTTCCTTCCTTTGCTGGGGTATCCAGACACTCGGATGCTTTTTGGGACGGCGCCTTTCCCATGATGTAATTTTCAGGAATGAGGCTCGATAACGTGGCTAGGAGTTTTCCATCTGGGGTAAAGTCAATCGAGGATACCCCTGAACCAAAGAAATGGGCCGGGAAAACTCATATACGTGCATTCCGTTTTGAGATTTCGCGAAGAGAGTGAAACGTCCACTTCAACTCGTTGAGTATTCTGAGGCTGTGGCACTCTGACCGTACCCATCGGGTGAGGGTTGGTATACACTTTTACATGCTTTGCTTGCGTTCGATTCCAAACAATTAGCAAGCTCTCCTGCAAACGACCAAATTGCAGCATTGCAGGCACGTCGCTGTTCTATGACAGAGACCATAAGCCAGGGATTGCATCATCTGTGGCACAGCTCACCGAACACAAGCAATGACGAACATTATTTAGTTCATCGCACCTGCCCCATATCTCCAGTTGCAATCCATTCCTTATCTTCTGAGACTGCGACGGCGGATATACGGTTAGCATGACCGCGCAAAAGCACTTGCCTGCCACCTTGGGACGCTTCTGCTTCTCCACCGTATATATGAAGAACCGCCGTGTTGGAAGCAGGGAACAACACTGCTTGCTCTTCCGTGCTGCTTCTTGTAAGACTATGCACACCATTTCTAACCCCCTTGTCGAAGCCGTAAGCCCAGCAGAGTCCCTATTAAAGAGCAGCACTATACAGCTCTTGCTGAGATCTTCCTCCATCAATACCGTGCATGACGCCATGAAAGCTTAAGCGGGAAACTTACGACTGGAATATCCCCGATATTGTTGCTCTCAGGAGAGCTTCGGGCCGCTGCATCGGAGAGGGTGCCACCATGCGCCGTTGGGTCCTCTTCGCTTTTCTTCCCATCCTGCTGTTGTTCGTACAGTGAGGCCTTCAGGGCCTCTTGGCAGCCAGTGCTCATCGTCCTGACCTAGAGAGAATCCTCTTAAGGTGCCATCCGTCAACCTGTTCACAGCCGGCTGAGCGTCACTCCAGCCAAGTGTAAGTGGTCTCCAACCGGCCGATTCCTAGGCAAGAACTTGTGCAAAGGTAACCAACTAGACCAACTAGAAAGGAGTGAAGTGGTCACCATAAAACGCTGCCAACGATTCGTGGAGCAGCTAAATCAAACTAGAAACTCTACGCAGCGCGTTCAGCAGCCCTTCCAGTGGTACGTCAAATGTAGCGACCAGACCGTGAGAGTTCCAAAATACCTAAATTCTACTATGATATTCGTGACTTCACTTCCCTGGTGTTATTCAAATGCTTCTCAACTCCTGCAACTTGAACCTACCAAGCTAGCCCAGCACGGCTACCGGCCACACAGCTACATTACTAGCTAGAGTCTAACACTGAAAGGCAAGGTGTTTAAATCACACTAGAAGAGATCCCAGTGGACCGAGAGAAATACCTTGTTCATAACTGCGAAAAGGTGCCAAGCGCTTGCCAGCCGTCGGTGTGCCCCACAGGCCCGTATCCGGAGCAGCCAACTACTCTGCTAGGTGAGGGAAACGCCTACTACCAGTCAACGTAGCTCCAAACGACTTGCTTTCCTACTTTCGGTGTTAAACTACGAGGCTTTCAGGACATTAAGAGCACTCTTAAAAGAACGCGATCAACCTGTGGAAGGACTACTCAAGCAGTTCAGAGCTAGCGGGCGTGTAGATGACGGGCTCTCACAACGCGAGTGGGAAACACACGCCCAAGTTCGCAGTTTGAATTGGTTAAGGCCCCCCATTATTGCGCATTTCTTCGCCTCTATAGCTGACGAACTGAAGATCAGTGGGAAAGCCCCAAAGCTCCAAAGCCCCAAGCCCGTCTAGAGATCCCCGGGGTTGTACTGCGCATCATCTTCTCATTAGGCAGTGCTCTTTGGAGGACAGTGTAGAGGAACTTTGAAACATGGCTTGTTTGCGCGAAGCATGCAAACACCACAGAATACCGCTCAGAGGGAGCGGACACGCTCATATTGCCCTTCAACCAGGTTAGATTCCCCAGGTAAAGTCGCTCTTCTTTAACTGATGGCCTTCTCGGAGGCTGAATAATTCACATACGAAGGCTGATAATGTCACTTTTTTTTAGTCTGCCAGGTGACCACGGATATGGAAGCGTACTAAACTTACTTGTGCATGCAAGGGCACCATTATGTAGCATGTATGAGGCTAGCCGAGTAGCCGGTGCAGTCACAAGGTAATTACTCTGCCAGTGTAGCTTCGTAGAGTCCGGGAGTACCAGCAGGGAATTGCTTTTCAATTGCCACCTTTGAGGAGGACGCGCACCCCAGTACTTCACGTCGACTAACATATGTATAGATCATCTGGAACTTGTGAAGGGACGAGCCAAAGCAGCGCATTGCTCCGAGCCCTTGCAAACTTCAAGTTCCTGTTCGAAGCAGAAGGCTTAGACCTTCTTTCGAGCTCTATCTTTGGCAGGACGGATTCAATATTTTTCAGGTGGATTGGAGTCGTTTTTTGGTCGTACACGGTGCGCGGCTGCACACGCTGGAGGTCGCGCCCTGCAGGCAGGGCTGTACCTTGCTAACTCGTAGTAGCTGTAACCGTATGTTCACTAGGACTTAGCAGATTTAGCGGTTTGACCTTGATACCCTCGGATGTCGAGATGAGTGATAACCCGCCGAACTCGTCGGGGGCGGGTGAACTCGCGCATCCCCATGAGAAACCAAGCAAGCCTTTCGCTGACAACGCTTCGCAAGGTGAATGGTCCTTAGAAGAAGCTGCAGAAAAGATCTTACTTCCAAGCAAGGGGGGTAGTAGCTCCTCGATCACTAAAGGCCCTAATGAAAAACCCTCGCCTGTTGTTCCCCCACTGGATGGGTCAACTGCCTTGCAGTTGGAGGGGCCGGGCAGAACAGAAACAGTTGAGCTTCGTGAGGTGGAGGAATTAGAAATGCCCCAGTACCGCTTGGATGACCTATTTGAGTGGGAACAGATAAATTGTGAGACTCCATATTATCTTCAAGGTGAGTATGACAACAAGCTAATGGATTCTTGCAAAATAGCTCCTGTTCGTTGCAGCACCCGTATACCCTGCTCATTGAGGGTATTGCCTAAGTTTCAGCTGCTGAAGCGCCAACCATGTTTTACTGTGTGAGCACAAACGCACTTTCCAAAGATGTCCCCCTTCGTCCGTTTAATTGCCTAGGAGATGCGTCATTCGAAACGCCTGAGAAGCAGGCGGAGCGCCAAGCACTCAAGACACACAAAGATGTGGTAGCGGCCTTGGAAGACACATGGGCATACTTTGCAAAAGATGACCAAAATCGCATTTCCAAGGAAGAGTATGCTCGGGTACGGAATTGGTTGCTGTTTCCTGCTGCATGCCGCTGCTGCGGAGAACCGAGCTACGTCGTAGTCTTAGTCTATATGTTCTAAGGCTTCAAGTTATTGGGACACATGCACTCCATTGTGCTTGCCTTCTTGCACGCGAATCCCATGATGGCTTGCAAATACCCAATACTTCTTGCTGTGCATCGTCACAAAACGGAACTATAACTCTTTTTGGGTTCGAATGAAGGTTTTGCTTCGCATTTGCCTCGTGCTCGTACCTCAACTGCGAGGCCGCGAAGTAGTGGACCTGATAGAAGAAGAGTGGCGACATGACTCTAGGGGTGAAGAAGGCCTTAGCCGTTCCGCATTTTTTGAGTCGTTTTTTCAACTGGCAGACATATGGACCCCGGGAATAGACGGTCCTGCCTACGCAGAATTCCTCAAGCGCCTCTTCCGTAGAATTACTGTTAAAAGGGTCCGCACGAAGATGGGGGCGAGAATGACAAAAATAAAGCCCAAGATCGTCGTGAAAGTCCTTAACAAAGACCTGAAGGTCCGACGGCAGCTTTCAAGTGTCTTAAGATGTTACAATACTTAATCATGCAATTTGTACCACGCCAGAAAGTGAACTCTAGGCTACAAAGCCCAATTTATCGTGAGCTGTGACTGGCACACCTGCATCTCTTGTGCGTTGACATGCCTGTGCGTTGACATGCCTGTAGAAGCCCGAGAATGAGCAACAAGACCGAACGGACGCGCAGCAAGTGGATCTGATTGTGAATTCGGATGGTGACGCTGGATGCGTAGCTGAGTGGAGCAGAGCCGAGCACGAAGCAGTAGGAGCACTGCTGGTTGCGCATATGAGCGGCGAGAAAAAGCCTCTTGAAAGCCTTGAACTTCATGAAGAGGTGCTCCACGACTTTATATCGACATCACAGGATGAACCGGTGTCAACTGAATGGGCGGACTACTCAAACATAGCTCCACTGGGAGCTGCCTCACGTGCATTTCTGGAGAGTGTTTTCTCAAAATCTGTCTCAGCAATCCTACAGCAGAGGCGAAGTCAAGACGTTCAAGACATCCCCCCGAAATGCACAGAACCAGAACTTTCCACTGTTCAAGAAAGGGAAACGCTGCTATGCACTGAGCAAGCCAGTGCAGATCCAGCAGCACCGAAGCCGACGACTGCAGCTGCTCGCCGACACTTCGCAGACTACCAGAGCAAAAGCGACTTACCCCTTCGAATATCCGGCGTCTCAGACGATGATCTTAGGCCATTCAAGTCCATGGGTCTTCCAGTGCAAGTGGAGGGCATGCCGAAATTGGTTCGCCTCAAGGGAGCACCGCCTTTGCTCCTGAATAAACAAGTGGATGAACACGAAGCGACTGCACGGGAGAAAGTGAAAGAGAGTGAATCTGAAGTGGTGCAAGAACCGGAAATACACAAAGGCATCTGCCAGTTGGATGACACTCAAGTAGCGCTGCTCCAAGATCTGACATCAGTCGAGGGGAATGATCTGAGCCTGGAGGAACTTAAGAATGCCCTATCATCAAGCAAATGTGAACAACCACCTGTCGCTACGTCTCCAGGTGGGCCTGAAACGGAACATGCGTCACCATCTGGCCTACAGCAGGTAGGTGAGGCCGAAATACAGTCGAAGCCTGAGCCTGAGCTAGAGGCCGAGTTAGATCAGCATTCGGAGCAGCATGGGAAGTTAAAGCAAGACCCTGAGATGGAACCAAAACCAGAGCCAGAACCGAGTCCAGAGCGGGAGCTGGAGCCAGAGCTGGAGCAAGATCCACAGCCAGAACCGGGTCCAGAGCCGGAGCTGGAGCCCGAGCCGGAGGTGGAGCCCGAGCCGGAGGTGGAGCCCGAGCTGCAGCTGGAGCCCGAGCCGGAGCTGGACCCCGAGCCGGATCTGGAACCCGAGCCGGAAAAACTAATTCAAGGTGGAGACCAACAAGAAGAGATAATCGAGATCAACGTAGAGGAAGAAGAACCAACACCAGTTGCAGAATCCCAGGAGGCACAATCGACGGATGAAGTTGGTGACGGCAGTTCGGTTATGCATACCAGAGGTACCGGAGGACCTACGCAAAGGTTAACGCGCCACTCAGGGAACTTCAAGAAACAGGTCTTCTACAGTCTGTGTGAAGAGACGCTGAAGTGGCAACGAGCTCGGACATTCCGGCAATCAATTATGATAGACGGAGTGGGCTCTGTTATTGTTAGGCGTCGCTCCGACTATAAAAATTCAACCTTCCTGCGAATTGGTATGTGACCTGGGAAACGGCATCCTTTTATCGAATTTTGGCTCTGACGTCAGCCAACGCGCAGTCGCTGGCAATACCGTATTATGTAATGCATGATAATCTTGCGCATGCTGCAATGCATAGTGCAGCCCATCTGCTGTTTGTTGAAATTATTAATTTTTCATTTCTACAGGGGCGCACAAAACGGAGACTGTCTCGGAAGACGCGCGCTTTACTATGGAAATCAGTCCGGAAACGGACCGTAAGACATCGCTTCTTTCGAGCCAACTTCACGCTGAGTAAACCTTTGCAGCATTCTCAGCTGGTGGTGGGTACAAAGAGCTTTGCACGCGTGCCTCAGCATTCTGTCCACGTGTGCTTGTGCAGCAATCTTGAACGAGGGGCAAGTGGATGAAGAACCCTGGCACAAAGCATATCTGCAAACTGAGGAACCACCGCAGGAAAACACTATTATGCTGACGGAAGATGACGAAGTGGCTTTTGCTCAGGAACCTCGGCAGGCAATCCTGATCGTAGGGCCCAATGGCCCCGGTAGGGTGGAGAGACAGCCCGGAGTGCAGGAGCATTTTGCAGCAAAGCCGCAGATGGGCACCTCACATGTTAATGTGAGAGAGTTTCCGATTTATGTCTAGCTGATCTGCCTTGCTGTGTTGATAGAGAAGAGCCGCGTGGCTTACAGACTAGCAACAAATTTGGGACTGGAATGGCTGCAAGCCGAGTACCTGCTGACGGCTCTTTGCAAAATAAGTCCCTCCCTATTGACCCCTTTGGGGAGGCGGTAAGCACATGCATGCTGCAATCACAGGCCCGGTGCGACAAGTAGGAAACAAAAGGAAGTTTTGACTTTCGATCTTGTATCTGTGGAATAAATGCTGATGGGTGAAACGATTGTGAGCGTTTAGATCTACCAACGTGGAGTATCTGTAGATGAGTGGAATGTTTCTGCAAACAGATTGGTACGAATGATGAGCCGAGGGTCACGCGTGCCAGTACTGGAAGCGCTGTTGCTCACACTCGAGTTCATGGCAAGCAAGCGCTCACGCACAGCTGGGTATGTGCTCGAGTTACCTAATGGGGACAAAAAGGTAAATACAACTAGGCAGTCGACTTTGCGGTAGAAGCAACATAGCGTTCTCAGTCGCTCCTGATACCACTCGCCATTGGCATCTCCCGGTTGCAAACGTCCTTGTTGTGGAACCTCCCTTCGTCCAATGCTGCCAGTCTTTGGGGCCTTCGTACTGCCAGCCCTGCATTTGGGAAGCAGTCGCTACTCTACGAAAACATACAGCCCATACAAAAGACGATAGGAAGGCCACGTGCGCTGTGGACTGCTGAATGGGTAGGAAATCAATGCCTTTTTGAGGCACCTGCGTGACTTAAGTGGGCGTCGACGGCTCAACTGGCCAGACCTGCTCCTGCGACACTCGCGAATTTGCGAGCAGCGGCGCCATCGCCGTAGAGAAGAAAGGCGGCGGGCAATTTTGGAGAAGAAGAAAGCCCGCCAGAAAGATGAGAAAACGAATCTCAAAGAAGGCTTTTTTCCAGCTGCAGAAATGGGAAGCCTAGAGAGCCAGAGTAGTAATGAACTGAGGCAACTTGTCGGTGAAGAAGTGGGAGGGGTTATTGCAGTAACTGGGGGCCCGTCGGTCTCTGAACCAGAGCAGATTGCTGCCCTCGCCGGGTTGGCGTCCTCGAAAAGGGATCGGACTCCTCTATCGGACTCTTCGAAGGGTGGTAAGCCCAAGGACACGAATGTTGTAGCCTACCAACCACAGATAACCGTGGGATTCAGCTAGAAACATAAAAGTCTATGTGGTTCGGCAATAGGATACTTCGTCGACTGCCCCTTCTTGTTTCAGGCCACCTGCTTGGAGACGAGAATGCAGGCAGCCAGTCTGAAGAGCCAACCCCTCATGTTGCTTCGGTAGATGCAGGCAGCTCGGGGACGGAGGCAGACGGAACTGAGGAAGAGGACAAGCCGGTTTCCGGATCTCTGGAGCCTCAACAGCCTCTCGAGCTTGGAAGTACGAAGAAGGGGGCGACGCCAGTTGCAGCTGCAGGGAACGACGAACCCAGAAGCCGGCAAGGTGAGGTAGGAGGCGTCGAAACAGCTGATGAATGTGGGCCTGCGGTGAAGTACCAGCCAGAAGGAACACAGCCTGCACAGTCTTCTCAACAAGATACAAATATGCAGGCAACATCTGAGAAGTCCATCATGGACGCACAAGAGACTGTGCCAGTAGGAGATGTAAGGGACGGTGTAGACGCTGCACGAGGAGGGAAAACGGCTGACCAAGAAGGCGCCTCCCCGGCCCTTCACACCGAAGGCGGCAACAGAGTGAATATTAATTCTGAGCAGATGCCTCCAAACTCAGATGCACAACTTCCAGAAGGAAGGCTCACTTTGAAAGATCGCACTGATTCAGATGCTTCTGCAGTTCTTCAGCCACCTGCTGGTAGCGGTGATGAAGTTCCGAACAGAGATCAAGAGGGTATAAGCAGATACAATCTGGGTAGTAGCAGCGCTGCAGCTGATGCAAGCGAGAAGGTGCCGGACACGAGAGAACCTGAACAGGGGCCATTCCTGGCAGAGGATGGCGGTTCTGAACTTAGCTCTTCTGATGGCTCTAACTCGGATTCTGAGGCTGACGAATTGTTTCGTATCGCAGCTGCAGATGCTTCGCAGCCTCAGCCCAACCCCTTGATGGACGCATTTCCTAGCCGTGCAGTATTCCTTATGATAGACCCAAAAGAAGGCGGCCGCACTCTCATGTCAGGCTAGGACTTGTATTTTATCAGCAAGCTGGAAAACGTATATTAGGAAGTTGCAGAAGCGTGCTTGCAGAGTGCCTTAGTTGCATGCTGCGAATATTTGGATGATTCCACATTTGGATGATTCCCCGCACAATGTGCATTTACTCGCAGACGTCGCAAGCTGATTTCATTTGGATTGCACGTTGTAGCTTGGTCTGCGCAGGGTGGACACAACCAGCGGAGCAGTGATCGACGAATTCCGCACAGACGGTGAGGATAGCCTAGCTCACAGGAGTGAATACAAGTAGGAAATGCTGTGGTTCATGCAGAGTGGCTTCTTATGGATGCAGGACCGTTACTGTGAGCTGAGACATGCCAAGCTTATGCTTTTGTGTAGGTGACAGAGGGGACGCCCTTGACGTCGCAGGTGCATAATAAGACCCACCGAGTCCCCATTGCTTGAAAATGGCTGACCCTACTACCACGGCATACGCCTTAGTCAGCTCCATGTGGCAAGAGGAAGCACCTGTCACTACACCCTTGTGAGCTGCTCTGCAGCGGGGAATCAAGACGGAGAAGAAGGACTAGAGCTGTCAGTTAATGCTGATGCTGACCTACTGGAGGTGAAGTTGGGACCTGAATGCTCCTGCCATTTGAAATCAAACCGCACTTTGTCCAGAGGCTGCGGGATGATACGCAGCATCCACGATAGACTGAGCTGCCTACTGTGGTGATGTGTCGTCACCTGCGGATAACCGATACTACAGTAACAAAAGCTACCTAACAAAGCCGGTGAATTATGTCCCCTACAGGAGTTAAAAAAGGCACTGCCTCCTAAGTTTAGTGGCGCGTCTACTTTCGAGGAGGAATTGGCGCGCCTTGGCGAATATCGCTCCCAGGGACTGTTGTCTCAGCGGCTTCTTCTGCAGCACTTGCTTCAGACTTTGGGCCCCAACAAGGTGGTGTTCTTCGCAACGGGAGAGGGTGAGTATGGCTGTAGCAACCAGCGATAAATAGCACTTGAAAGGGCTTCGCTGCAGGTGGCCCTTGCACCCCTAATGCAGCATTGTCTTTCCGCTGCTGCAGATCATGATCAACAAGACGGTTCCACCCTGGAGGCCGAAGTAGTGATGGCTGGACCCCGTCTCGCAGCCGCTTTAGAGTTCCTCGCCGTGAGGCCTGTCGGTGAGGTTGCAGCCCCTGTACGCGGGGCATCAGAAGTTCAGGATTTTAGCGACTTGCTGCTTCGAGACGATGCCATTCAAGAACAAGGGGGCGATGCAGGAGGCAAACCGCAAGAGCCGGCAGACGATCAGGAGGAAGATGGTGTGCCACGAGGCACTGACATAACAGAAAACCAGGAAGCGGACAATTCTGAGCAAGATGACTCGACCGCCGAGAGAGCGATAAGCGACGTGGAAGAGTCCACACAGCTCACCCTCCCTCCCAAGAAATACCTAATGGCTGATGATCTTTGGGGAGAGTCGCAACTGGAGCATTTCTACTCAGAAGCCATGGCAACGCCGATTGCAGAGGATGCCAGTGCGCCCTCTGCAGGCGACGCTGCAGCTGCTGACCACTTCAAGGACGGGTCTGATACGAATGAGGGAAGGGAAGAATCAATCAATTCAGTCACTGCGGGTGGACTGAATTATTTACTTCAACGACGCTGGACTGCATGGGGGCCTTATTGCCCGGTTACGTTGCAGGAGAACGGGAAAGTTGTGGAGGGGAAAAAGCAGTTCGCAGTAGAGTTTGCTGGAAAGCTTTTTCTCTTGGCAGACGAAGAAAAACGTGCGAAATTTCTTAAAGACCCAAGGAAATATATCGAAAGTCCTCCCACACTGCCTCGCAACACCAACGTGTACCTGTTTGGCCCTAGTTATGCGGGAGTGGCCAAGCAGGCCAAACTCCTTAGTCGAACCTACGGATTGGTAACCGTGAATGTGGAGAAGGAGATCGCCGATGGCCACCGGCGAAATATAGAAGAACAGCAGCGGCTACTGGAGGAAGAAGAGCGTATCAAAGAAGAACGCCTCCTGCAGGAGCGATTGCAGAAAGAGCGACAACGGGAAGAAGAGGAGCAACGGCTCATGCGTGCAGAGGACAACCCGGAAAGGCTAGCCCTTGCCTTCCCGGAGACTCCAGAAGGCATGTCTGAAAAACTCACAGATGAAGATGCCCCAGCGACGTCAAGCGCCCAGGAGTCTCCGCGCGAACTTCAGATATCTGTTCCTTTGGGCGGTTTTGGGCCCAGCTCGGGCGAAAACAACCTGTCCAGACCCGCGGAAACGGAGACAGGAAAAGCCGGAGACGCTGCTGATGTGAATAAGGAAATTTCGTTCGTGACATCGGATGTAGAGGAGAATCTGCTAAATGAAGGCCAAGCCCTCGGTAAACAATCATGCGTGTAGTCTAATTAGTATATTCGAACTAGATAGTGGCGAAACAGCAGCACGTTGCTGCCTCCATCTTTCATCCACATACAAGCCCTTCACGGGAATCTGCTGTTTGAGCGCAATTGGTAGGTAATGAAACGGTAATTAGGCTGATTCTACAAAAACTTGGGCTAGAAGAGAATCTGCAGCGGGCAGACGCCATCGATAAATACCGAGCCGAAATGGAAATCTACCAAGCGGTGCGGCCTTGCGGGAAACACCACTGACATTGCAAATTTTATGCTCCAGTGTTCTCCGTTGTACTTCGCTAAACAGTATAAGTACGCGGAGGGACCTTTAACTCCTCCATGATAGGCCCATACACAAAGTCCTGTTCTACGCTCAAGCAGTCTCTCGCACACGCGTCATCTGGTTAAGAGACGGTTGCGAGTGGTTCAGGAATACGGTCAGAAAACTGCAGATGAAGAAGACGAAGAGCAGGAGGAGGAAGAGGAGGACATGGAGGAAACGGGTGAAGTCTCTGACCGAAAGCATGGAGAGAAGAAAGTTAAAGAGGAAAAGCCGCCTCCGCCGACAGCTCCTCCGGAGCTGCTGAAGGTAACAACTGGCTTCGTTCTCGTGCATCAGCCCCCCACTCAGGCGTTCCTGCAGCAATTGGCCAGGCTGGGCATTGAGTTTAACCACATTGTTCACTTCACCAGCAATCCAGAGGACTTAAAGGCGGCAGAAGACGCAGGAGCGACCCAGTACGCATGCACAGATTCAGAGGTTATCTTTGAAGACGAGATGGAGGAGCCGGAGATTGACGCTAATGAAATGGAACGAGAGAAAGAAATAGACGACGCTTTGGTCCTTGACACTGAAGTAGAGCCAAGTGGGTGTGGTCGGCCGCTGGCCGATATACAAGCAACATGTGGCCTGTAGGAACAAGAAGCATAGAATTTGCACTTGCGGGGACTAAAGTTTGGCTTTGTTCCCGCACTATGAATCTAAGGCTGCAAAAAGTGTGGCAAACAAACGCGCACATCTCTTGCTATCACTGTTTCTTCACCTTGCTCCATCCAGCGAAAATTGAGGCTACATTGACGGATCTGTTGAAGCACTACAAGCTTCGACAGTTAATTGATCCATTCTATATCAAGCCCGATCCGCCTGAGAGGGTTGTCGCCCCTCCAAACCTTGAAGAAGTGAGCTCTCTGTAATCCAACAAACAGCAGCTGCTTTACCTCCGCACATTGCTTCCGTAGCTCTTTCTATTATGTCTAATGCCTAAGAGAGTGACCTGCCTGCAGATCTATGCACGCATTGAGCAAATTACTTCTTTCGAAGCCCCCCCCGAAGGAGAAGAATGGGAAAATGCTTCTAAGAGGTTCCCGTTCCTTCCTCCTCTTCCTTTGGTGCTGTACGGTAGGGCATTTAGCTACCTCTTCAGCAGAGCCCATTGCCTGGTTATCAGTTGCACGCGTGGATCCGATATAGTGATGAGAGAGACTTGGCGTTTCCTCTTCGACGCTTTCCCCCTACCGGGACAGCCCCTTGATATCTGTGTGTTGCGGTACGCAGGCGACGTGGGGAACTACTGCCCGGTGGCTTTGCGTGACGAGAAATGGCTTCTGCCGGGAAAGCCTCGGCTGAGTCTGCAGGTGCGGCAACGAGTGTACATGCTTTTTGACGAGGAAAAAAAATACAAGTTTGCTGCCGATACCCGACGCTATCTACCATCCCTGGATAAATCCAACGAAGCACAAGAGACGGGCACGCTCGCGGTTCCACCTCCACGGTAAGACGCAACATCCCGCTTATACGTAGCTTAGCTTTTCTTTACTGAGAAATCAAGGCAACAGAAACGGGTCTCCACGACAGCAGGCTTGCCTTGGAGGTTTCTGTGTGGTATGACAGCATAGCATTTTTGGGTTCGCTGGGATCGGAGGTGGAAAAGCGAGTTCGCCAGCTTAGCAGCGAATACTCCATAGCTTTCCTGGATCTGCGAGCGGCATTTTCGTCAGCTTTGAAGGAGCAGCTGTTGTTACATTTGAGGCGAGAAAAGAGGGCAGCTCTGGAGGAGGCCCTAAATGACCAGATGAGCAACGAGTCCGAAAGCTCTCCAGGCAAAGGCGAGGACACGCTGTGGCAGTTGCTGTCACTGAGCAGCAACAATGTGGCTGAAGTTCAAGCGGACGTAACTACAGAGATGTGGCAAGGGCTGCAGGAGGACACGCAGCAAAAACTATACCAAGAAGCCCTAAGGAGTGTTTTGCACCCCGAGATGGGCCCTGCTTTCATCCAGGGTCGGTTGCTACTGTACAAAAATGGGCGTCGAGCGTCTTCACAGCCGTTTCTGGCTGGCACATGGAGATAGTTATTAGTTCAACTGTTGTGGCGTGACACGTTTGTGCCTCCAGCTGCCGTCTTCACAAATCCTCTCGTCGATGCAGCACCAACAACAGAAGAGGAGGCAGAGGGAGAGGGGCAGGCAGGGATCAACATAGGCAGTCTGATGGATAAGGCTGGACGCCTCCCTGACTGCGTCGTTATATTCTTGTAAGGCTTTGACCCTTGATTCCTATCGCCACTCGGCCCTGACCTCTGTGCAGTTCTGCTGTCCTGAGAGACGCATTATTTTCCCATGCTGGTCTCTCAATGTGCAGATGCACTGACGAGGTGGGGGTGTCTCGGTGCCTGGACCTGGAAAAAATAGACAGACAAGCAGCAGAGGCCAAAATGAGGGAGGCATTAGAAAGAAAGCAGGTTTGCGTGGCAGCAGCAGCCGCTACACTGCATGGATTTGGAATCGCTTGGACAGTCCAGTGCACTCAACAATGTGGGACTATCAGTGCCGCCAGTTTCGCTAATCGGTAGAATTCAACTATTATTTTAGATGCCCATTCAGAATCCCCGAGACCAGAGCTCTGGGATCTGCACTGGCTTGGGTGTTCCTACAGAAACGGAAAGCCAGACGGAAGGCTCCTTTAGACTCATCGGCAGAAGGGGACAGCGAATCAGGGGCTGGAGATGAGGACGAAGATGGTGCGGGGGACGGAGATGAAGAGCCGTCAGCCTCTGAGAAAGCTCGCCAAGCGTTTCTCAAGTGCAAGCTTGCCCAAGACGTGGCGCTGCTGGACTGTGCTAAATCGTTTGCAATGGCTGGAGTGCCTGTTCTGACAGTGAGGTCGGAGTTGTGCGAGGGCACATTGCTGGATGCTGTCAGAAGCTTCCTAGATAGGTTTCTCAGCTACAGAAGGAGCCTTCTTCTGAGTCCACAGTGCATCCCACTTACCAAGGCAAGCCATACAGGCTTCATTTGCTTGCATTTAAAATCAATATCCCTCCTACGCTTTCGTTTGTGGTCATCACGGCCAGCTACAAGCCCTCAAACCCGCAGTCCTGTGCTTTTGTATCAGTGTCTGCCAGCAGCTGTCCCTGTGCCTGCAGTCCTTCTGTCAGCGTCTCCTCCTCTCTCGGGCCGTGCGGCTCTCCAAGTACCTTCTCTGCTCTCCGATGGATGTGGACGCCATGGTAAGGTGTAGGAACCTCGCCCCATATAGACGCCTTTTTAATGCAACCGTGAGGGAAGCTGCACCCCCAGCATAAGGTCTCCCGCGCAGGCTGCCATTTCTCCTCTTAAGACTCTAGACAAGCTCTCTAGGAATAAACGCTGCAGTTCTAAAACGCTATTTTACCTGCACATCCGCAGAGACTCAGAGACTTCGCGGAGTTTCCCGTCCTCTTCAGGGACCGAGTCTACTTCCCAGCTGAGACGGAAGAAGAGCGTAACATCTTCTGTCAGACCCCCTCTAAATTTCTTACGGGAACACCACCTCCTCCAAAGAGACACGTTCCCGCCTGCGTCGTCTTGGGACCGCTAAACAGCAACCGCACGCTGGTGGGTGGTGAATCTCGCCACCTCCATCTAGACTGCTACGCAATTGGCCATTAAGTTACTTCAGTCCCATTGACCCGTTTCGTAGCAATGTATGCGGCTGTGTAGAAGTGCTCAAGAGTTGCTGGGCAGGCGAAGTCACATCCCGAAATGTTATACAGGGGAGGGTGGGAAAGGGATGAACAAAACTATGAATGGGCGGGTCCTGCAGATCGCCAAGCAGATAGCAGAGTGGTGCGGCGCCCTGTACGTCAGTCCCCTGCAGCTGATGCAGGAAGTAACTGCGGCATCTGCCCCTACTTCAGTCCTCAGCAAGTGCATCATCGGGGACCTGCAGCAGTAAGGAGACAGTCTAAAGAACGTGCAAACTATGGGTTTCCAAGTGCGTCAGTGCCTAGCCGAGGCTCGGCCTGCCAAGGCCTACGTCCAGGCCCCTCTCACGCTGTCCTTCCCATCCTGTTTCAGGGGCAAGGCGGCAGCGCCGTGCTGCACATGTCGGCTTGTTGCTGCTCGTCTTCGGTCACCCGAGGCCAAACAGCGAGGTTTCCTTCTGGACGGATGCGGCTTGGAAGGCGTTGGGGTAGGGCAGCTAATGGAGCTGCTGCATGCGGCCCCCCACGAACTCACAAATCTCTCGCGCATGCATAGACTCAAGCACAACAACCCTTCCAGCTCCTGCTCGACGGAGGTGCCCACCATCCCGATGGAGGCTGAGGAGCCAGGGCCAGTAGCCCAACAGCCTAACGGCGAAGCTACGGCCCAACCTCTGCAGTCTCCGGACTCACCGAACCCGAACGACAGACATGATGGAGGCAGCGACGGATCTGAGGGATCTGTTGCAGCTTCTGGCGATCCCCCAGAGGCGAAGCAGGCTAACCCTCCCCTGCAGCTAGAGCTCTCAGATGTAGAGAAGCCTAGGCCTGTAGATGCAGTGGAGGGGGCAGGTCCCCCAGAATCTGTTGAGCGGGTTTCCAGCATTCCACCTCTACAGCTTGGGGACCTGCGGCCCCAGTCCGCTGACGTTCGCGGGAAGTATCCATTGCCTGTTGACTCTGGAAGCGAAACGGCGTCACCTGGACCACTCTCCAGCTCCTCAGATCCCTCCTATGCGGCGCCCGCGTTGCCGAAAAGTGGAGACGTAAAAGCGGTAGAGGCAGATGAAGACGAAGATGAGACTGAAAACGTGACCACTGTTCTTCCGTTCCCTCGTGTGGATATTGTCTTTGTGTTCGACGCTGAGCCCGATGACCTCTGGACCGACGGCGAGCGGCTCCTCCAAGAAGAGGGGGCCAACCTTTCGGATCAAGGAACCACAAAGCAGCGTGAGCTGTCTCCGACATGTCGGTACTTAACTGACTAGCTGCAGTAGCGACTGCGGTGGGGCTTCATCTTCTTTGGCCTGTACCCCAGGGTCGAACTGTAGGACTTGGGGTGCATGTGCAACCGCCATTCGGGCGCAGGACAAAGCATTCCATGTAATCACCGAACATGCTGGCATTCGTAGGACCCTGTTTCCCCTATGGGGATGACCGGGACGTCCTCGAGGTGTCCGATTTGGCTGACGCCAGGAGAGCCTTTTTGGAGGAGGCCGTCCTGCAGCAAGTGGAGGAGTTTCGTTCAATGGGCGTTCGAATCGTGTGAGTTGGTGACACCTAAATACCGATAACCGTTGGCTGAGGGGAAGGAGCCTGCACACCTAGACTTGCCCGTTTTACACATGCGCCGGTCAATATCGAGAAACTCCAAACTGATGCGGCAATCGGAGAGGTGTGAGGTATGGGGGTCGTCTTCTCAGGAACGTTCCCGCAGGCAAGTCGCAGTGGCTGCAATTCGACTTGGTGCAGAAAGAGATTGAGGTGAGCAGCTGTTAAGCCCAACTCAGCTAACGGCATTTGCTTGCAGACTGGCAGGTGCTCTGCTGCGTTTTCTGCCTCGAGCAGCTTGCAAATAGGCAGTGTGAACGCTTTGGGAACAAACATGTTTCAGGCCATGCTACGCCGGCGCCACTGCTATGAACGGCTCAAGGCCCAAGCCCATCCGGCGAGGTGCCCCATAGAGAAAAGAACCGACGTCGCTGTGGAGGGTTTCCTCGCTTCTTACTGTCCTGTTTGCTGGACTGTAGACGTGAGACGGGCGCAGGAGCAGATACAGCGACAAAGAGACTCATACAGATATAAAGACAGATAGGGCTTGGAGGTAGAGTGCGATGCAGGCAACAACTGACCTACAGACACAGAGATCGCAGTTCTGAAATGGCGAGTTTGGGTTCGCCTAGCGGAAGGGCTTAGACGGGCCTGCTTGCAACTATGTTGACGTTGCATTACACGCCCACTGAGCCGTCAGCCCTTGGAAAGCACTCAACCCTGTGCTCCAGACCCTACACACCGGAGGAAATAGAGGAATAGAGACAGCTTTTATTGTGGTGTGCTCCTGGTGTTTTGTTCCATGTGGTCAATCAGAACGCCCTGAGAGACTGCAGGGATTCGCCGGACTATCAAGTGGAGTTTAACGGAGCCCGCTTTTTCTGCTGCTCTGCGGACCACCTTCATGTACCTTACGTGCACTTCGACTTGCAGTTGCTGCCAGGCTGTCTCCACAAACGAGACCCATGCACCCAAATCTCCACATGATGAAGCTGCACTTTGAACCCTAAAGTCTACACTAAACTCTAAGACAGACGTCCCACCAACTGCATGCGGAGACCCGACCAGACGCCAAGGGGAGTGCCTGCCTGCTGCTTTTTGTCTGGCTCTGCAGCTGCTGCTGTCTCAGCCCAAGCCCTACCTCCAGCAGCAACTGCCGGAGCAGCTGCCTTGCCGGCTCAGTTGGCAAGCTGCCGACGAGTGCGGTGCAGTGGCATTGGCGGGCTACTGTCCCGTCACACTAGGTGAGTTCAGGAGTGTCGTTAGAGCCACGTCGCTGCCGCTTGTGTAGGCCAGACGATCGCTGAACCCTCCATACTAGAAGTATGGCCCACGAAATACAAGAGCGCACCCTTCTACCAGCCACTGACGTCATAGCTGCATTTGCTAACGCCTTATTTGGATCCCTAGCAATCCTGTCTGTAGCCCGCCAATGCCATTGCACCGCACTCGTCGGCAGCTTGCCAACTGAGCCGGCAAGCCAGCGGCCCCGGCAGTTGCTGCTGGGGTACTTGGGGTTTATGGGAGACAGACGGTTGGGGCGAGGCCGCACTGGTTTGCGTTCAGTTCGCAGCGGGGAGTTGGTGAAGGGAGACATGCGTTTGCTGGTGCGCTACGGGGAGGAGTGTTTTTGTTTCGCCACTGAAGAAAATCTGAGCCACTTTATGATATATCCTGCCGATTACCGAGCTCGCGCCCAACTCCCTGCACGGTTCACAGGCACCCAACGGTTGGGTCTCCCCCCCAAAACTCTCGCCGGGATCGCACAAGCCGCTCGCGAACGCTGCATGAAGCAGGACCAAGCCACACGCCCCTCTACAAGCCCTCTCATGGCAGAAGAAGGCCTTGCTGAACTCCGAGATACACTGAAAGATGCACTCACTTACATCGAGGTACAGCAACACACGGCACCTGCCGCTTTGCGCTGGCGGTGTGCTGCCTTCGCTGCTTAACAGCACTACACTTGCATGCGTATACTGAAGGAAAGCCCCTGCAGTCTACACGGTTTCCTCCTAACACCGATTCCGGAGGCCCTTAGGCGCGGAACATGTACAGCAGTGATAAGTGCAGCCGGTGTCCACGACGTTCAACTCGAAGACTTGGGCCTAGCCAGGCGGAGGTGCCGACTAGCCATCCATTTGCTTTTGTTCATTTGCATCTCTGTTTCAAATTCGCCATCTCTGTTTCTGTGCCACTTTCCTTTTTTAAATACTGCTTACTTCAGGTATCTACGTTGGATGTACTTATGGAGGCTCTTTTGTTTGTGGGGACCAACCGCCCGCTGCATCCACAGTGCAACCAACACTCGAGCGCTGTGCGGCTAGTTGCGCACTATCTGCGAGCTAAAAACCCCCTCATATCCGGGCATGCAAAAGCTGAAGCAGAGGCAGCGCTCCAAAGCTTCGTTCAGGGTAGGCCCGCAACTCTGCTGCTTCGCCTGTTGATGGGGGAGACAGGGGTCACACACCAGACAGCAAGCAGTCAATTGCAAGCGCACAACACAATGCCACGCAGAAGACGGCAAGAAACAACCAAGTGCCAGGCAAGAGACAGAGAATGAGCCGAAGAAGCTGTAGCGGTCTGAAACAGCTGCACTGTGACGCAGAGCAGGATCTTGAGCTCTGTCCCCCTCATGGGGTCGTCCGTGGTATACCTGTTGAGCAATGTCTCCTAATTATGAACTTTGAAGAGTGCTTGTTGTGAAAAGGGAGGAAATGGAGGACTGCTGTCCGCTGCAGAGCGGAAATAACGTTATTCATCGAGTTTACGTCGATATCCCAGAACTTGCCTACTGCGTGCGGCTTACAGATTGCGAAACCCCGTTCGAAGCGCGCCAGGCAATCTTGCAGTTGCATGGTCAGAAGGCAAAGGAAGGCGTGAACTACCTGCCAGCAGAGCAGGCCAAGGTTCACGAGGCTAAGGCCACGCCACAGACGCTTCAACAGGAGTGGAGCCACTACACTGAGCTGCAGTACGAGCGGGTAACTAAGAGGCTGGACAAGCTGCTAGCTCTCGATTAAGGAGACAAGATGAAGCGGCAGCAGATACACAAGTTGCAAGAGGAGAACAAGGCCTACCCTCGTGAAGCGCTCGACCCTTCAGAACATTGCATGCGTACGCTTCAACTATTTGGTTACAGGCAGTTGCAGCTGCCGCTAGTTGCGCATTACCGCAGGCCCTGACAAGCAAGCAATAGGCTTAAGCTCGATTCGAAGTCAGTGTGGTGTTAAGTAGGGATACAAAAGGTGCCTTCCATATACCAGCAGCACCGAGAAATAACCAAGCAGTCTCCGACTCTTAACAGACCAGGCAGCAAAAGGGCTAGGAACCCCTGTTGCTGCTGTAGGTGTCACCAGAAGCTGACTCAAACCAGCTTGAAGCTGATATTCGCAGCCTGTAGGAAGGCTTACACGTGCTGTATGTTCGTCGTTTTCGTGATGAGCGTCTAATGCCTCAAAGTGTCTTTGGTAGAGCGTCCCCGAAAAGGGCTGGACTTCTTGCAGCTGTGCAGCTGATATTTGGGATGTTTGGACTCTATTCTACAATTATGTGGGAGCCGGAACTGAGTATTTTGAACTGCGACTTCCCGCCAGCTGGTTCCCCTGGAGCCTTCCCTGGCGGTTGTACGTCAAGATGCACCTACACAGACGAATCAAACTTGGTTTTCCCTCGAAGGAAACAAGCTTATGCACTCTCAAGCAGCGGGTGCATGCTACAAGACCTGTGGGGCCCTCTGCAAAGGAGCCTGCAATGACGCGCCTGTGGCGGGGGCGGTCTGTCCTTCGGAGACCACACTGGCCATTGAGTTCAGGAACAACGGTTCTTCAATGAGGCTTTAGAGGAGGATACAAGAACAGGGAATGGAGTTTTCTTTGTTTTTGAAGGCTGAAGTGTATTGTGTTTTGAAAAGCGAGCATTATAATGTGTTGGCTCACACCGTCCTTGCCTTGCCTCACCGCTTCCGCCGGTCGCCGCGGTCGACCGGGGCAGTGGCCAGCTGCAGTGCGCCAGCTGAGGTTTGAGATGTGCGTACACCCCAAACATGAACTTTCCCTTGAACTGCGGGTTTGGCAAGCCTTAGAAGGAGACTTGCTGTGTCATTTTTGAGCGTCTTCCTCTTGTTTTCACATCGGCTTTGCCTGCTCCGGCGGAGCTGCGGTTCCGATGCTGCCGCTCGACAGGTAACTCTGCTGCTTCGTCTGCCTGCACTTACCTCCTTTTCCCTTTCCCTCCATTTGAACCAGTTTGTCTTGTTTTAAACTCACAAGTGTCGTTGCCTCTGGGCAGCAGGCGCCTGTCCCGGTTTCGCTTCTCTCCTCGGGCTCGGCGCTTGCGACCGGTTCGGGCGAGGAAGAACACAATTGGACGAGAGGTAGCACTGAAAGACTCCTCCCTCCCTTTTCTTTCCCCCCTTACTTGCGCAACCTCATTACCAACTCATTCAACTCACCACAGTTTCATTTCCCTCATTTGCTTTCCGCCTTTGTGCCGCTGGGTGCCGCCGACCCCGACTCCGCTACGAAGCCGTCAGGACTCGTGCCCCTGCCGTTCCGCTGCTGTGTCTAGATTTTAGCAGCAGCAGAAGCAACACCATCAGTACAAGCTTCAGCTGGAACAGAGCCCCGGTGACAGGGGAGTTTCGGAGATGGCGGTCCGTTGTGAGGCGATTGGCCTGAAAAGGCTCTGCCTAGGTGCCTTCGCCGCTCTGTATCTGGCAGGGACCCACTCGGCTCATGCAGGGGACACCTCGGATGCAACTTCAAACCCTTGGGGCGACTCTTTGCTGAAATATAATATACCCTACATCCACGGTAATTTCAGCGGAACCGCCGCCTGTGTTTGCTGCAGCGCGTTAGTTGCTGGGCCTCCTCTGGCTGCAGTTACAGCAGTCCTCTTTCTAATTGGTTTTCCCTGCTGGTGCTTGCTGGTTTGTTACTGTTGCTGACAGCAATCGTTGCTTGTGCGTTATTGTGTGGGGTTGTCTGTACTGGTGTAGGTAGCGGGGTGTACGTGGACCTAGGGAACGAGAAGGTGGTGAAAAGCCGGCGGTACAGAGAACCAGCGGGTATGTGTCCTGTGATGGGGAAGGTAATAACCCTACAGCAGCCGACAACAGATGCTGCAGTCTGGCCGAACGATTATTTGGCTCGCGTTCCTATAAAGGACTCTGCTCAGGATGTGCAGCCTCTGGGAGGAGGCTTTGGAATGTGGGAGACAAAGCCTGTCAAGATAAGCCCTTTGACGGTCTCAGAGCTACAGCAGATGGCCGAAAAACAGCGCAAGAAGAACAATCCTAGCGCCCCGGCCACTAAGAAGCTCGAGGAGGTGCAAGACGACCATGGGCTCTGCGCATGGTGGGCGTGGACGACGTACGCACCAAACAACAGCAACAACTTAGACGATAAGTATCGATATCCCTTTGTGTGGGATGAGGATAAAAAGGTCTGCACTCTCTTGGCTGTCTCGATGCAGATGCTCCAGGGGGCGGGCAAGTACTGCACAGCAGGGAATGACTCTCCTAATCTGACTTGGTATTGTTTTTACCCCGAAAAAACCAAACAAAAGGTCTCCTATAACTCCCCCTACATCCGCTTAGACCATGCCTCTGTCTGTCCTGAGAAGCCGCTTAACGGTGCCCACTTTGGTGTCTGGAACGGCACCACATGCGCCCGCATGGTGCCTCGTCAGAGGATGCATGTTGATGCGCCTGAGGATTGCGGGAAGGCCGTCTTCAAGGCTTCTGCTTCAGATAACCCCACAAGATACACCCAAGCTCCCACTGCTCAGGGAACTCGAGATGACGCAACGGAAGTGGTGGCATCAATGTGGCCTGTGGGAGCCTTCGGGCAAGACCAGCCGGACTCAAAAGGAGTGGGAGTAAACTACGCTAACTGGTTTTCAGACGGCACTTGCGAGCTGTACGACACCGTGCCTACATGTCTCACCCCCGCCTCTTACCAGGTAGCCTTTACTTCGCTGGGGTCGATCGACCCCACAGATGCCGAATTGCCCCCCTGCAATGCCGCCTCTGAAGGATGGAAAATCTACACCTACTGCGAATGCGGAGAAGGGCAAAGCGAACCTTGGGAGTGTAAAAACGGCGCATGGGTGGGAGGCAGTAATGAATGCGAATGTAAGACCAACAACGCCTAACACTAAAGGGGAACTTACAAGTGTACAACTTATAGAAACCACTTCTTACCCAACGAACATATACATATGGAAACACAGATATATATGCACACACACACACACACACACACACACACACACATGAAGTACTGTAATACAGAAGCGCACACTCATGCAAACACACATGGGCACGCAAAGTAGATGACGGATGCAAGTAGGTGACCGAGACAAAAGACGCCCACAGAAATGCACCAAAAAGGGACTACAAAGGGCAACAGGCGAGCACCGCTGAAGGGGGCAAAGGTTGCAGCAAGCGGACATCGAAGATGAACAGACAAACCAGAAAACAAACCAAGGAACTCACATACAGACACACAGGTAGTCTACATATGAAGGAGGCGTAACAGCAGAAGAATTCGGTTATGTGTGTCGCATGTTGCAGGCGGAAGCTATCTCCCATTGGCTTTGGGTCTCAGCGTTGGTTTGCTGGTGCCGGTCGCAGCGATTGCCGGTTATTTCTTCTACAGGCGGTGAGTATGCTTCCCCCTTCACTCTTCCCTTTCTGCTAAGCTGCAGTGCCTGAGCAGTAAGAGGCCAAGGAATTAGCAGCAAGTAGCAGCAGTGCCCTCTCCTAGGAGCAAAGGAACCGCCGCTTCTGTCTGACGCGATGATATAATTGAGATGAGCTGAGAAGTGTTTGTGTATTGTCTTAGGCGGAGGCAGAGCAACCAAGGCAGACCCACAGAAAAAAAGAGACTCCTCAGTGAAGACCAGGGAACAGACGAGGAGTTCTCTAAAGTGGACCAGAGAAGACAGCACAAGCGAAGTGACTTTGCACAGGAGGCAGAGCCCTCCTTCTGGGGAGGTGGGCAATAACAATCTGCTGCTGTAATATGTCTGTGTCCGTATAGGGAGCAAATAACACCAAACGCCTGCTTCTTTGCGCGTGTGTCTGTTGCTGCCATGCTGTGTCTGCATTCATCCTCCTGGTTAGACAGAGGAGGTGTGCTCCTTGCAGCCCATTTTTGAATTTGTTTTGAATATGGCTTTTCCGGTGTGTCTGTGCCTTGCTCCTGTATCCAGAGACGCAGCAGGACCAGACAAATGTCATGATTGACGATAACACACACGAGGCATACTACTGAGAAGCCTCTTCATATAATACCGCTCCTTGGATGTAGAGGCAGAAGGGCCCAGCCCCGAGATGTACACATTGTTACAGGCTGCATGCAGGGAGACAGGAAGACTTCAAGCTGGAGCAAGCAGCTTCTGCTGCATGCTGAGCACCACATAATATTTAATATATAATACCACAACAACGCCATATATGTGTATGTGATCCCTGTCTCTCTTCTATCTGCTAGGGTGCACTCGTTAGCGACATCATCTCTGCCTCTTATCCCTGTCCCCCGTTCGCTGTCTTCCTCGGCACATAGCAGCTCTAGCGAACACAGCGTTTCACCTCCGCAGAGAAGACTATCTCTGAAATGTGGCAGCAGCAGCAGCAGCTGCTGCAGCAACAGTTGCTGCTGCTGCAGCAACTGTTGCTGCTGCTGCAGCAACAGCAGCGGCTGCAATAACAGCAGCAGCAGCAGCGGCCCCATTTAGAAGGTCTGCTACGAGTTATCGCTGCAGAAATCCATTTGAGGCTTGATTTATGTTGCTGCTTTACAGCACAAACAAAAGCAGCTTTAGAGGCTGCCCCCTGCTTGGGGCTGGGCCAGCTGCGGAGACACTCAGCTGAACTGTGCGCTGGCTGACTCCCCTGGTGTTAGGGGACAGCTGTTAAACACTCTTCTTTTATTGAAGTTCAGAAATTCCTAGAGAGACAGATGCTGCCCTGAGGCCCCAGTGTATGAATAGAGACATGTATGCAATGCATAAGCATAAGTAAAGCAGGCACACACAATAAGAGAGGCAGGGAAGCAGGGACGCCTCCTGTCTGATTATGTGTTGCAACAATGCTGATAGGAGCTGCTCCTGCGGCTGTAGAGCAACACCTTTCCTTAGAGGGAGGAGTGGCCTGCAAGCGTCTCTCCCCGTTGCTGACTAGCTCGGCATTGAAATGCCTGCTCGAGTCTATCTTGCTGTTCCTGACGCGAGTATGCAGGAACTTCTTCTTCTTGAATGCTAATGAGCGACAGACGGCCCTCCTCGTCCCCCACCACCACCACAGGCACACAAGGTGCGTACCTGCAAACAAATCCCAATACACATACACCAGAGAAATACAATCCAACTTCCTCACAACTACAATCAGTAGCAGCGGCAGCAAAAACAGCTGCTTAGGGCATGGACGCCAGCGCAGTCTTCCTCGCCCGCGTGCCCACGACAGGCAGTGTGGCGACAGATTCATAAAAAAGAAGAATATAACGTAGTAGTAATAACATTGGAATTGGGATATGGTAAATCATCGGACAATAAATAATATGCTACAATTATTTTATCTCCACAACACCACAAAGAATCTACTGCAAGAAAAGAAGCAGTAGCTGAAGCCACCTGATCTGCGTCAGCTGCCGAGCTACCCGCTCCCCTCCAAAGGAAGGATATAGAACTGCTGCAGGATCTGCAGTTTGATCGCTACAATTCCACAGCTCAATGCGTCCGTTGTTGAACACGCAGCAAAACGCTGTCGAGTCGTAAGGGCTCCTAAAAGGCAGCAACCCAAAACCCTAAACCCTAAATCCTAACAACCAAACCCTAATGCAAAACAAAATGCAGTAACAACAGAAAAAGAGCCAGTACAAATGGAACACAAACGGTACAACTACAACCAGCTGCAACAGGCAGCATCGCTATGTCCAGCAGGAAGCAGATAGGTGAACACATAAAGCATTAGCAGCACCAGACGCAATAGCAGACGCAGTAATAGGCGCAGCAGCAACAGCAGGAATAGCAGCAGAAGCAGCATCAGATGCACCAGTATCGGCAGCAACACGGTCAGCATTAGCGTATTGTCAACAGAAGCAGAATAATCCGCAGTTTGAGCAGCAGCGGCAGCAGCAGCATTAGCAGCAGCAGGAGTCATGTAAGCTGCAGAGCAGCACCAGCAGACGTCCATCACTGCGCTGGGGCTCTCCGTCGACGCAAATACTTCACTTTCTTCCTGGTGGCGGCCAACAGCCCAAAGGCGCACAGTCCAGTCGGCGGAGCCCGTCAGCAGAAAATGCGGAGAAAAGGGACTCACGCGCACCTGATATAAACCAAAGACCCTAAATCCTAAGCCCTTAACCGTCAACCCTCAGCCCGAAACCCTAAACCCTAAACCCTCAACTGTAAGCCACAGAACGGATAGTCCATGCAAGTGTTTGTTGCCTCCTTGGGTAGCACATTATGCTCGCGGAACAACTATACAGCATCAAGACACTGAAATTATGCTATGCAGCGGCAATCGGCTGTTATAGAGCACAAATTGGTTGTTCCGCTGCAACGAAGTACGGAGCCCCACACACTCTGGGGCAGCAGCCGCTAACAGGTAGAGACTGGGGGCGAAGCTTAAACCCTAGGCCCTAAGCACTAAATTAAATATGAAAGACAGAAAGTTGCCAGTAGGCTAACGATCACAAAGACATAGAGCATATATAAAAGCCGCAGCAGACAGAAACGAAGCAAGAAAAGAAGAAGCAGCAGAGAGAGACATAAAACCAGGTACAAGATGCAAGAATCCAGCAAGAGAAACAAGAGCAACAAGAGACCCAACAGCAGCAAGGGATAGGCGAGTGAAGATGCTGACAAATCTGCAACTGATTTTATGCTTTTCTGGTGCAGGACAAGAGGAAAACGATATAAAAGAAAAAGACAGAAAGATAGAGGCGAAAATAAAGAAACAAAAAGACAAATGCAGAAACACCAGGACGAAGGCAGCAAGAAAACCACAGTTACACAAACACCCAGCAAATCGTAAAATGATACAAGCAGAAAGAGAGACCGCAGGACAAAAACAGCAAGACCAAGAGGAAAAGCAGGAGCAGAAGTAAATATAGCAAGAGAAGGGGAGAGCAAGGCAAAGACTGCAAGAAAATTAGGAAAGGCAAATGCAGTAAGAAGGACAGCAAGCCGAAGATGAAAAGCACAGGCAGAATGAAAGACAGCAAGGCAAGGGGAAAGAAAGACAAAGACAGGAAGAGGAGAACTTAAAGAAAAAAATGGATGAAGTGTATGCCCCCACTGTCTTTACAGGCCCCTTGTGTCCATAGTAAGTGGAAAGGAATTGCTCGTTGTAGTTTAGGGAGCATTTGTGGACAACTCCATCATCAGCAGCAACAAAATAAATGCTGCTGTCTTCTCCTCTAGCCAAATCCAAAGACAACCCTGCAGAATAACGAAAAAGATGTGCCTTGGGGGCCTCCTTGCGGGGCCCAGTGAGCTGCAGCGCAGACGGGTTGGGAGTCCGTCGCACGTTCATGACGACGCAGTTCACAAGCCCTGAGAGCAGCAGGCAAGACATGTAACGGCAGCAGCAACAACAGTAGCAGCAGTAGGCATTCTTCTGCCGGCTCACACCCAGCACACTAACCACTAGCCACAAGCAGACTCCTTTGGGTATTTTTCTTTAGAGACGACTAAGAAGTGCAGAGCTAGCTAGTCTTTGAAAAGGCAAGCTAGCCGCTGTCATCTCTGGCTAGGTAGATATTAGTGCAAGACTAGCTAGCCTCAGCCAGCAGCAGCTAGCCAACACTGCTGTTTCTCTCTTGCCTTTTTGCAGACTCCATTGCAGCACCTGCCCGTCTCCTCCGGTAGACAGCAGCCCCTCAGTGCCCTCCCGTAAGAGCCACTGCAAGTCCCACACGGTGTCTGTATGCTGGCAGCCCTGCGCACACAAGCAGAGCCTACATCAGCAGCAGCAGCAGCAACGTCAGCCAACTAGGGCAGCAGCATGCAACGACAACAACCACACAGGCACAAGTACATGCAGCAGCAAAAGAAGCAGCAGCAGTAGAAGTCGCAGCACATGAAGAAGCGGAAGTAGATGCAGCAGCTGCAACGGAAGATGCAAAAGTGGACGGAAGCGGGCATGTATTGCCAACATCAGTTCAAGCCGAGCATCACCAGCAAGGGGCTATCTACAAGCAAGATAAAGACGAAGCAGCAGAAGAGTCAATAAACGATTTGCTGCTGCTGGCAGTAACTGTGTATGTACACCTCAGTCCCCTCACCGCTGCGCCCTCTGAGCCCGCGCTGTGCAGCACCGGCTGATCCTTTGGAAGTCGCAAATCCCAAATGCCAATCCCCCCATCCACCATCCCACCTACGCAACACCAAGCAGCAGCACCTGCTGCTCTTGGTGCATCAGCTGCTGCTCCTGCTTGAGCACCAGCTACTGCTGCTGCTGCCTTTGGGATCCCGTCGTATCAGAAGGGAAGACGTCTAACCGACTGGCTAGACCTCTCTTCGCTGCTGCGTGTAGAGTAGCTGCAGCAGCAGCAGTAATTGCAAGCTGCAGTAGCAACTTCAACTACAATTTGTTGGTGCGTGCTGAAGGTAAGAACAAGGAGGCAAGACATTCTTCATCTCCCTGACCTCCCTTGTTGTTGCTGCTGCTGTTCTCTTTACCTGCAAGAAGGTTGGGCTGCTGAGAGCCAAATCCAAGTGTCGTGACACCTGACTTGCAGCTAATGGTGCGTTGAGGATAGAGGGGATTGGCAATGGACCAGAGCTGCAGCTGCCCTGCATGCAACATTCAGGTGTATGTACACCTCAGCAAGGCCTTCATTCGTGCAGAGGACATACATCAGGCGAACATGTACTCCCTCTTCGTTTCTTTCTCCTTGTTTGTTTGTATGGGTATATTTGCTATATTTATTGTTCTCTGCGTGCGCGCACTAATGCAACCCCCCTTCGAGCTGCACACCGCTGCGGCGTTTAGAGTCTAGCGCTTATGAAAGGTTCCGTTTGTTTCCTTGTTTCGTTGCAGGCTAATATTCTTTTCTGCTTGCCTCACCCGACCGCGGCGCATCAATGCTACAAGGCGGAGAGCTTAAAGCAGCACAGAGAGTATCACGGTGAATAGGGTGATAGGCCAGTGCCCTCACGCCTTGGCCTCCTGAGAGATGCCGCCCGTCAAAGTCCAGCAACTCCTTTAGCTGCTGCCGAACAACTCCACCTGCAAACATCAGCAGCAGCGGCAGCAACAGAAGAAACACTGAATAGGACTCTATATACATGCACTTATATATACTATAGTATATCGAAAAATCGTCTCTTCGGGTGTATAAACAGCTGATGGAACATGCATGCACATAGAGTGTACATACAAAGCACAACCCAACAATAAGAGACAAAACTGTATATTTCGTAGAGGATACAATATATTTATTGTGGATATCCATATTTGTTTATTTAGATACAACATATAAACCGCATACAAATCCAAGATAAAGGAGCCAAAAACACACCCTGCTGCTCCTCTTCACCCTCCGAGTCGGAGGCCTGCCGCTCCTCCTGCGGCACCTCCTCATCCGTGGCAGATTCAACTGCAGCAGCAGCAGCAACAACAGCAGCCGCATGACCAGCAGCGGCAGAAAAAGCATCAGCACAAAGAGCATGGTCGGCAACAGCACCGTGAACAACAACAGCACATCAACAGCAGCAGCAACAGCACCATCAACAGCAACTGCACCATCAACGGTAACTGCAACAATACGAGCAGCAGCAACAGCAGCTGCAGCAGCTGCAGCAGCAGCTGCTGCTATAGCTGAGGTATGCCTCACTGCAGATACAGCCAACGGCTCTGTCAGATGGGGATCTTGGCAGGTTTTCGTCTCCAAAGTCGACTGCCTTATAGTTTCTGTATATCATTTGCTGCTGATGAAACTGCTGCTGCGATAATGCAGCTTCTATCCGCAGCGCTGCTCTCCCCACCCCTTGAGGCAAAGAGCGCTCGCACGCTACCTGGGAACCGCAAACCCTTGACCCTAAACCCTACACCCTAAATCCTACGTCTTTTCCGAGGAGAGAAATAACATAGCAACGCGGTAGGAAGGGTTTGTAATCGAGGGCATACACCCAGGCAACTAAACAGCTAGCACCAAGATGGCAAGCACTCAGCCATTATGGTCTAATCTGCCGCTAAGAAAACAGCAGCAGCAGCAACAACCGAAGCACCAAGACCAGCATACCAACAAAAGCAACGGCTCCAAGAGCAGCATGAGTGGTATCAGCAGCAGTAGCGAAAATAGTAGCACCGGCAGCATCGAAAAGACCAGCAGCACTGACAAAACCAACAGCAGTGTTGGCAGCATAAACAGCAAGATCAACGTAAGCCGAAACAAAAGCAGCAGCGCAAACAATAGCATGACCAGCGGCATCAACGAGAACAAGTGCATCAACGGCAACACCACCAACAACAGCAACAGCAGCAGCAACTGCAGCAATAACAGCAGCTCTTATTACCTGCCAATTAGATCTGGTGTTGCGTATATCTCCAGGTGCATCTGCAAATTCGTCTTCAAAGTCTTTTTCCGAGAGACTTCCCTTCATATCCAACACAGAAATCCGCTGCGATCTTCTACCACTGACACTTCCTGTAGACATATCTTCACATACACCCAAACAGCAGCAGCAGCAGCAGCACAAACAGGATCCGCACTGGGAGCGGCAGCAGCAACAGCAGCGCGAGCAGGAAGAATCCGCACTAGAAGCGGCCGTACGAGCAACAGGAGAACCAGGAGGAGCATCAAACGCAGATGTGGGAGCAGAAACAGAAGCAGAAACAGCAGCAAAAGCAGCAGCAGCAGTAGTAGCAGGAGTGTACCTGTTCTCTTCCCGTCTGTTCTCTTGGCGTCACTAATGGATAATCTCTTTGAGCCAATAAGACTACCCGCACCAATTCGCTTTGCGCTGTCTCTTCGTTTTAACTTTATAGAAGGTAGCGTTTGTAAGGAAGTAGAGGTAGGGGGGGAATTAGGGAGGGGGCCCTGGGGGCCCCCCATCCCACTAGAAGCGGCGACTCGTTGCTTATCTCTAGCAGCAAGAATGTTCCAATCCAGTGAAAGTAAAGATCCTTCTGCATGCAAACCTTCTTCTGCAAAGGCTGCTGCTGTCTTCTCCCATGCTGTTCGAAAGCTCTCCATGCTGCAGCAGCAACAATTATACACAATAGTGCAGCTGCTGCAGCTTCTGCAGCACCAACAGTTAATTACACGAGTGGAACTGATGCTGCTGCCGTTGCACCTGAAACAGTTGAAAGCACTACTGGCCCTGCTGCTGCTGCTGCTGCTGCTGCTGCAGGAAAGCAATACGCAGTCACCGACAGTAGCCTCAACACTCGTACCAGCACCAGCATCAGCGGCCTCAACGCTCGCAGCAGCAGCAGCAGCCTCAACACTCGTACCAGCAGCAGCAGCAGCCTCAACACTAGTAGCAGCAGCAGCAGCAGCAGCAGACATGTGGCGTACAGGGCAACGGGTTTAGCAGCAAGGGCATCATGGATGCATGCAGGTGATGCGCTGACGGCGACATCAGCGCATGCGTTGTTATCTGTAGCAGCAGATTGTAGTTTTTGCTGAGGGTTTAGGGTTTGTGTATGGGAGGTTTTAAACCTCCCTGGTACTTTTTGTTTTGCTGCCTGTAGCTGCGCATACACCCGGTTACGCTGCTGTATCTGCTGATATTCCTCGGTGCCTGCAACAGCACAACGGGAGGCCTTTGTGAATAATATTACGGTTTCTGTCTCCTCCAATTCAATGCTTAGACCACCGCGATCCTCTCCTACAGTGGCAGAAGCAGCAGCAGCAGCGTATGCTGATGCTGCTGATGCTGTTGCTGCTGCTGTTGGGGATGATGGTGCTGCTGGCGCTGCTGTAGATCTCGCTGCGGCCACGGCTGCAAAGCAAAGATACGCAGCATAACCACATATACTTCCTGCAACTAGCAGCAGCCTAATATTATATCCCCTTAGTATAATATAATGTTATGTTTTACAGTATAATGCAGTGTAATATAAATATAATGTAATAATATAATACGTATACACAGTATATATATATATATATATA